ACAGGCACATCGTTAGCTTTGCAACTCCTAAACCCGCTCCAACCAGCCGCTTTCTCCGCACATGCCTTGCACATGTGGCCTGGCCACTCGTGTCAGAGCAGCTTATTTGCTCTCACCTGCCAACATGTGTGCCAGAGAGAATCCACCAGCCCGACTCCAGCCTTCATCCCCCCTCCCCCCTTTCCAGGCTCCCTAAGATCCCTTCCCCCCACTCCGGGCCCGGGGACTCACAGGGACCGAAGCTTAATCCACATTTTCTTGCTGGGGGCTGACTTCAGCTCCAGAGGTGACGGGCAATCCGACTCCAGCATCTCGGGAGGGCTGCGCGGGGACAGCTCCATGCTCAGGCTCTATCTATGGAACAGAGGGAGGAGACAGCACCACCGCTCAGACTTAGCTCCCAGAGGAAAGACCCTCACCCACATTGCAGCCCCTTCCCACCTGCGGCTGGCGCGGACCAGCCAGGCCGACGTCTCTAGGCTCAGCCGGAGCTGGCAGAGCTGCAGTTCCTGTGGCTCCTCCTCTCCCGCTGCCCAGCCGAGCTTTGGGCTCCCAGTCCGAGCTCTCCACCGCCGCTGCCGCGCTGCCAGAGCCGCCTCCTGTCTCTCCTCCTCCTCCTCGGCCGGTTCCCCCTCCCTCTGCTCCCCCTCCCTCCTCCTCCGCCTGCCGGCTCGTCTCTCACTCCTCGCAGCCACTCCTCCCCCTCCCGGAGGAATGAGGAACGATTGGAAGCCGGGGGCACACCCAGACCAAAGCACCCAAATGCCAGCACAAGCACCCAGGATCCCGGGATGAGTGGCTGTGTGTGGTGCCCCGCGCGGTGGATGTGAGTGCGTGTTTACAAAGTGCAGCTCAGGCGGCTGCAGGACTTCGGTGTGGGTGTTGCGTGGGTTCTTTGGTTCTTTTGGTTCTTTTGGGTGTTGCGTTTTAAGTTTCTTTGTACGTGCGAGTGGTTTCATATATTCTGCAAGTGCCTAGCGTCCGGTGTGAGAGAAGGGTAGCCTGAGGAGTTCGCCTCTCTCTGCCTGGGGGCCTTGGCGCTCAGGCTCAGTGAAGCCACCCACCATCAGAACCCAGCCTCAGACCAGAACCTCGCACTTGCACTCCTGCCTTGGAAGGGAAAAGTTCAGGGTCTGCTCCGAGTTTCCATGGTATCCCATGCCTTTTCTCTGTTCCAGTTCCATTAGTTTGGTCTTCCTGACTGTGCCCATCACTGTGGCCTTCCCCCTGGTGTCTCTAACTTCCCTTGTGGAGGGGGAAGTTTCTCTTCAGTTCAGAGCTTTCCAGAGAGACTCCACCAGTGCAGGCAGCACCACATCTTCTTTGGTTTAATACAACTCCATAAGAGCCGGGAAATCATTACCAATATCTCAACCCCTCCTGTAGCCTTTCCAGATTATTTCTTCTTATTCTGTCTTCAGTGAAAGAAATCTAGTGGCTGAGGGCCGGGCACAAAACAGCCTAGCTGCTTAAAATATTTGTAGAATGACCTGGAATTTGAACTCAAGACTTTGTAACAGGACAAAGCCTCTTCCATCAAACTAAGTCCTACTTTGGACTCTGGGAGGAACTACCTCAGCATTCCTTAGAATTGTTCTCTTTAATGACCACCTGCTTTGACACCAGGGAAAATCCTATGTAAATAGAAAGTGGAGGTGTATTCACTAACTAATCCAGGATCCCAGAAGGTGAGTTTTAATTTTAAGAACACAGCAGGTTGGAAGGAGGCTCCCGCCTTCCCAGGCAATGAAGTAGAACAGATGTGAAGTGGCAGGGTGAAGACTCCCAACATTAAAGAGTTGCCTTCGAGGTAATGAAGTTAGGCCAGGCCTTCAGATCTGGCAGGACAGAGAATTATCAGGAGAACCATCTCCCAGAGGTACAAAGGCAGAAGGAGATGGCAGAGGCAGAGATGGAGGAACACACCAAAAAGAATACTGGGACTTCCCCTCTCTGCCCATTAACTGCAGCATATATCCCCCTTTCCTCTCCTTGCCAGGAACAGTCCCAGGCAAGTCAGAGTTGTACCTGGGACCCCCAAAATCAGACTCATACACAATCTAATTCTCAAAATTTGAGAACAATTGACTTCCTTAATGACTGAAAAAGAATGGGCTGGAAGCTACAACAGAATTGCAAATTAGGATTAGAGCTAAAGAGCTCCAATTAAAAATTAGGATTAGAGCTAAGGAGATTCCCAGAACATGCAGGTATTTCAACTAGAAGAAATGGGAAAGAGGTCATGATGTACTTCCAGAAGAATCTCTCAACATTTCGTGTGCACACAGTGGTATATCCCGCCCCTGCTCTCCCAGGCTCCCATCTCCTGACCCATTTTAAGAAAAAAATTTCATACCCCCAAAAGTTATTTGTAAAAGAAACTTTAGACTCCATCTAGCCTAACCCCCTTCATTTAACACATGGGAAAACTAAGGCCAGAAAAACTATGTGGTCCCACAGAGTAAGCAGCAAAGCCTAGGCCAAGTCTCCCAACTTTTTCTAGTGCTTTTCCACTCCGTGGCTTTCTTTCTCTTTCTCTAGTCACCAGTCTTGGTGTTCAACCTCAACATCATTGCTCTTGTTGCAATCCCATCCCATTTCTGTCTTACCCTCCTAGACAGGGTGTATCTGTTTCTTTCATAGGCTCAAAAGACCCACTATTCTTTTCTCCCTGTCTTTTCCTCCTGTCCCCTGCCCCCACTTTTCCCAGGCCCCTTTGGCCCAACCTCAGTTCTCTCCATTTCAGCTTCCAAACTGTCCCTGTCCCTTGGAGACTGTGCCTCCTCACTCCCATAACCCCACAATCCCTTTCAACAAGCTTTGGGTTTGATAGAGACCCAAAAATGACATTTTGGCACTGGTGACGGATGGATGTGATCTGCTTCCCACGGGAATGCTATTTAAAGGGGAGGCCTCGCAATCCTCTCCTCCCAAAGTGACAAGAGAAAAGCCTGCTCCTCAATCTCTCCAGAGCTGCAAACTCAGCTCAAGTTAACTTGTGACTTCCTCAACCTGCAACGTGGCCCGCTGCTCCTGCTTCCTATTCAGGTGGGAGGGAGAGTACTTGACAACTCATTGAGGTGTGGGGGCTGAGGGGGGTTCATCTTCATCTCTTTTGATGACAGGTACTTAGGAGGAGCAGGAGGCCCTGTGGGGAGGAGGACTGGAAGAAGAGTCTTCCCCCCAAACCCCGTGAGTACATTTCAGCCACGTGCCAGCAGCCTTTTCTCAAAGTGAAACTTTGTTGGAAAAGAACTGATATAGGTATGAGGACCTAAGGTTAAGGAAGTCTTGTCCCTACCTGGGACCTCCTTCTCCTAGATTAAAGCTCAAACTGCAGCTGTTCTCTTACCTCCTGGACAAAGTGCCAAAGGGTAAGACCCCCTCATCCAGGCCCCGAGCCTACTGCATTTAGAGGCTTCCCTCACCTGCCCACTGAACTGAACATCATAGTGTCTTTACTGCCCAAAGGAATGGGAGCTCCTCTGCAAGCATCTCCCCGCAGGCCTGGTAGGAGGGATAATTCCATCTCCTTGCTGCAAACAAATTAATGGAGATTGTAATGAAAACACTGCACTAATGAAAATGCTGAGGCTAGAACCTACTCTGCCTGCAAGACAAAGCAATCAAGGTCAGAATTTCTCCCTGATACTCATTCCTCAGTTCCTTTGAGGCCAGAACAAAGCAAGCTGGGGATCTGAGAGCAGAAAGCAGTTCATAGTTGATTGTGTCCTAGGCTGCAAGGGGTCTCTGACAATTTTAGGCAATTTAGGAAGCAAATTGCCTAAAGTACTGATGGACCCTGTTACCCCAAGATATTCATCTTTTGTTTCAGGTGGTTAAGGTCATCGTGTCCTTACCTTCTCCTATTTTTGCTTGTTCTAGGGTCTCTGGGTGCTGACAACTAAGTCTTGGCAGATGAAGAGGCAGTCTGTTCAGGGAGAAAGGTCTAGGACTAAATATCATTCTCAGCTCTCAGTTCTAGATGTACTGCTAAACATGTGACCTTCATTAAGTCACTTAACATCTCTGACTCTGTTTACTGGCCTGAAATAAGGAAGCCTCTTCTGGCTACCTTGCAGAAATATAAGGATGAAAGAACACTTTGATAAAGTATATGTTGTAGATAAAGGTATGTATAATTGTGTATTTATAAAAAGACATTATCACAGATGACAAAATTTTAGAATAGACTAACAGATTCGTGTTGCCAGGGGGTGGGGAAGGGAAGAGGGCTACAGGAGAGAAGTGGGTGTGGTTAGAAAAGAGCAACAAGAGGATCCCTGTGGTGTTGAAACTGTTCTGTACCTTGACCAATGGTGGTGGACACACAAACCTACACGTGATACAGCTTACAGAACTAAATACATACACACAGAGAAATGAGTGTAAGTAAAACTGGGGAAATCTGAACAGGGTCACTGAATTGTATCAATGTCAATGTCCTGGTTATAATAGTATGCTATCGTTTCTGCAAGATATTACCATGAGGGAAACTGGTAAAGATGCACGGGATCTCTCTGCATTAGTTTGTTGGATTAACTATCTCAATAAAAATTGTAATTAAAAAATAAAGTTGCTATGTCTACTCTCTATTCCCCTGCAGCAGCTTGTCTTCTGTACTCTGGGAGGCTCCTTTTAAGCATTTCCACATGTAGATGAAACAGAGGTCTCCATCTCCTCAAGATGATGATCCTGGCAGAGATATGGGTTTAAGAGTAGTTGTTTAGATACTTCTGAGCCTTCTTGTCCTCATTGATTTTGCCCTCAGTCTTGTAGGCCTGACCCTGAATCACTCCTTGGAACATGCTGTCCTTTCCATAGCAAGGGAAGACAACTTGCTGAGGCATGAAGCAGGATCCTCTGTTGCTTCTATGTTAAAGAGCAGACAATTGTTGCTGGTAAAAATTTGTGTATTGATTATGGGTGCCAAGTTTTAAAAGTATGGACTAAGCCTGGGTCTCGAGAAATAAAAATCAAACACACATACAAAATCCAAAAACAGTTATTAAATAGCTTTAATGAAGACCAGACGGTTTTGCTGAAAATCAACAATTGCTTCGTTTTATTATGGAAGTATGAACATGACCCTGACTAATCAACTAGTTAATTCTATTTGCCCATTCCAACCACTCTAAACCTGTGACATACATGATCTGTTGCTGCAGCTTCCCTGCCAGTAGGTGCACAGAAGAGATGGATGAAGGCCACTGCTTCCTGCCATGGAATTAACTAAACCCAGTTTAGTGCTATCTTGAATGCCCCAGGCTTTGTGACACTTGAAATTCTAATTAGCACAGAAAAGGGCTAAGTTGAAACAACTTGTACTCCCTCAAGTATACCCACTCTCAGGTCCCTACAGCCTAATGAGGTCTATGAAATTTAAGATCTACAAGAGAAATCCCTGCCTGGAGCAAGAGCTGCACCCAGGATGACAAGGGGGTTGGGGTTAAATTAGTCCTTCCAGATAGAAGGAGGAGTACCTCAAATGGTCCAGGAAGGAAACCACATGACTCTGCTCTAATTATTTGTCTTGTGACCTTGTGACCCTCTGCTCTGGATTCTGCTGATGTCAGAGAAAAGGCAGGAGGGGTGAAAGTTAAACAGATGAGAGAACTTACTTGTTACCCCCAAGGTGGTGGGGCAGGTGAAACGGTTTGGGGCAGTGAAAATCTCTCAAGAGTACTTTCTCATTACCCCTATAGACAATATAGCTGGAGGCAGAGGAAGAGACCTATGACTCCTAAAAGTGCTCCCACAAAGAAAAGAAAAGGGGTCCTTTGCTACGACTTTGCAGTAGGAGCAGGCTGAATGTTTGCTGAATACATTTGGGAAAAAAGAAGAGAGGAGATAATTGTCCTAATAAATGTGCAGGAGACAATAGCAGCTCCAATGGGAGGATTATAAGCTCATTATGGTTTAATATGATGATTGATCATCTCTGCCCGCCAGCATTATCCTAGAATAGTGATGAAGGTCGGAGAGGTCCATGCCAGTCGGAGCTCAAGCTCTAGTCACAGGAGATAGGAAACATATTTGTACATCACTTGTTTTTTTTTTGTTATAAAAATTCAGACTTGGCCCCAGGCCCCCAACTTTTCCTATCAACTGTCCTCCATCCCCCTAGCCTGCCTCAGTTCTCTATGATTTCTCAGTCCTGGACTGTTTGTCCATATGCCTGTTCCTCTGCTCTGGCCCTAGACCCCACCCCATTCACACCCCTTAAGAAAATGACCACAGCTTCCAGGATGGCATGAGTTTAGGCAGTCCCAAAGGGCCCTTCAGTGGGTACTGGCCAGCACTCGGTTCAGGTGGAAGGCCCGAGATACCTCCCGATAGGCATTTCGAAGCAGGACATAAGGGAAACAGGACTCCAACATGTCTAGGGTCAGGAAGGAGGACTCCTCCACCATCTGGAAGAAACAGGCCAAGAGATGAGCTCCTCAGGTAGGGCATACCTCCACAACACAATGATCCTCCTCATTCAGTCTCCTGGGCCCTCTGAGGCCCTCAGAGTTACAAGTAAACAGGGTTCCTAATCACACTCCCCTTCCTCCCCAACTTGGTTTATCTCTAGGAAAGCAATGTGGCTTCCTCGCCTCCCTTATAATGGCCTCTGTCCCCCTCCTCAGGGTTATATGAAGGGCTCAGAAGTGGAAGGAAGGAAAGAATCACTTCCCTCATGGCAGACAAACTCCCATTCTCTCCCACTCTGGATGCTAAAGCATATGTGGGTGGGCAGCACAGATGCAGGTAAGAATGAATAAAGTGATAATGACAAAGCTTGGCAGAGAAAGAAACCATTGCCACTGCAGGCTGAGAAAGAGAGGCCTGGAATCCACATGGGTCCCCTTGTGCTGGGCCTCAACGTCCTCCCTCCCTCAGCACAGTGCTTGTGGAACAGTAAGGATGCTGAATAAAGGAGCAGGCATGATTAATTAGTTTAATTAGAAGCCCGTGCACTGTGGTAATCCCAGCAGCCCCACAGCCCAGCGGAAAGATAGATCAAGATGCCTGGATAAGACTGGATAGGGGGCATATTAGCAAAGAGCAATGCAACCTAGCATGAGGCTGCAGGGTCCCCGTCTCTGAGGAAGGAACAGGGTGTATTTCCTTCAGTACCCCTCTCATTAAGAGGTTTGGGACTAAAAGACACACTCTGGAGAGAAGTGTCCCATATCCTCTGGCAATCCACACAGATGGGCCCTCCCCAATATGTCTGGTGTTTCAAGCCCTGAAATTCACTCAGAAAAGAGAACCTACCCTATCTACTCTAACATGTTTCTCTCTCTGAAGTCCTTTTGGGTTTTAAAATTTGTAACATTCAGCTGTTCTCAAACACATGCACACACAATACACACAGCAGTGCCAGAAGAGCAGATACTTCAGGCTGAAGGGAAAGAAATCTGCCCTTAAAACTGTAGCTCTGATCTTAGGTTGGATAATGGAAAGAATTTTTTGTGCTAGGCAAGACTTTCAAACCTTAAGCCAGGACAGAGATAAGATCTCTTTCTTGGGATACCGCCCTCAGGTATAGGGGAATGAGTGACAGCTTTAAGAAAGGTTCACAGGCCCAAGACTTCCTATTCTTTGCATCATTAAGCACAGAAAATAACACAGCTCCTAACTGGAAGAGATTCTTAGTAGTGGAAACAGCCCTAGAGTAAAGGCCAAATCTGCCTGCATATTTTGGGGGAGACCTTGAATGTCATCTTTTCCTCCCTGTCTTCCGTTTCCTCACCTATGAATTGTAAGGACTGGACTAATTCCCAGGACCTGGCCTTATTCCGACATATAAGATTCCACGATTCTTTCCCCTGTGGAATGGAGGGAACCAGCTGGTAATACTGGGGTGGACACATTGCCCAGCCTTGACAGCCAAGACAGAAAGACCGCAGGGACAAAAGTGCCTGACTAGGATTTGGGGCTATATGAGTAGCCTCTTAGAATACAGCTCTTTCCCCTTCGGTCATTTCCAATTTCTCTGTGGAAACATTTGCATTTAAATTGCTTTGCAGCAGCTAGTCCCTCTGTCACTCCCTCCAATAAAAACTGCCTGGTCCTAGCTCTGCTCCAGCCACTCTGCAGGCCTCACTGCAGTGCCACAAGGGGCAGACACCTCCTCACACTTTGAGGTTAGTAGGAGAGTGGGGAGCAAAGCAGAAGGAGGAGGCTGGGCAATACAGAAATACCTCTGACCTTTCAGAGGTGAAAACTGCCCAAAGAAATGAAGAGGCAAGCTTAACTCCAGACACTAAAATGAACAGGAGGGAGAGAGAACTACTAACATTTCTTAAGCATCTGTTATATAGTAAGCATTTGCACATATCTTATCTCATGAATCCTAACCACTCTATCATAAGCATTGTTGTCCATTGTTATGGATAAACAATCAAAGTCTCACAAAGGTTAATTAACTTGCCCAAGCTCATGATGCTCCAAAAATTGTGCTCTCTAGCACACCACTGGCCTTCGCCCTCATTTGCCTCCTCTGCCCTCTTACCCCTCACCACACACACCCTCCACCCGTACCCTCATGTCCTCTCTCTTCTCTATCATAACCCTTAATCAGCCCAACCTAGCCTTTTTTCTAGCAAGAGAAACTGAGACACAGATCCCACTCAGTGCCTGTGTATTTAAAGGAAACCAGGGGCACTCCCGGGTACGCCTTCCCCTAACATTTGTGGTCCTGAGCCAAGAGTCCCAATGGAAGCCCACATACCATATGACAAAATAAATCAAATAAACTATTATATTTTATATTTCAACCTTCACGATATACTTTCATAATGTTAAGGAAGGCCACGTTTGAATTAAGAATCCTTAGACTCCTCAGAGATCTGCACCTGAACAGGGGAGAAGGAACCAGCCCCAGTTTGAAGGGTTTTGTATGCACATATAGACTTCTGTCTGCACAGCTAAGCTTTAGCCATACACTCCTTAGGTGCTAGAGGCACCAGCAGCAGTCTGCCTCAGTAGGACGGACTTAGGGAAGGAGCTCCGCACAAGCCCCAAAAGTGGGCTGGAGCTGCTTAACAAAGAATTCTCAAGTCCCAGAAATCTTTAGTGTGGACTTCGAGGCAGAACACAGCCTCCAGGTGGGCATATCCTCTCCCTCTGGTCTGAGGGGGGCCTCTTAAGCACAAGGCCCAGGGCAGGAGCCCCTCCTGTTCATATCTAAGTACTGTAGTAACCTAGAGAATCAGACTTTTAGAGCAAAACAGTGAGTAAGTATGTTGAGGAGAGAAAACAGGGTCATGAGAAAAAGTTTTTTTTTAAATAACTGAGTCAGAGTTACCAGAACTTTCTGCCAAAGTAGGGGAAAGCCCACAGCTTGGGAAGAAAGGAGATGAGAGAGCAGGAGCTGCCTGACGCATGGTTCACCTGGCTCCTTGCCTTACAGCTTTTCATCTAAAATCTCTTCCACCTCTGCCCTGGCTGGTGTTGCTCAGTGGATTGAGCACCAGCCTACCAACCGAAGAAAGGTCATTGGTTTGATTCCCAGTCAGAGAACATGCCTGGAATGGGGGCCAGGTGCCCATTTGGGGACCTGTGAGAGACAACCAATTCAATGTATCCCTCACACATTGATGTTTCTCTCCCTCTCTTTCTCCCTCCCTTCCCCTCTCTCTAAAAGTAAATAAATAAAACCTTTAAAAAATAAACATAAAATCCCTTCCTGCTCTGAGCCCTCCTGCCCACTCCCCCAAGCTCTGTGCTATTCAGCACCCTCTTCATAGTACTCTTAAGGACAAGAAATACAGTCCTGAGGAAGTGGTCACATAAAACCAAACATGTGCTGAACAGATAGTTATGGATGAGGCACACAGCTGTCCTGCCAGTTCAGACTCGAGAATATTGCAGGAAAAGGGACCCAGTCCACTAAGGGCCAGGTTTAGCCCTCTCCTGCAGAGAAGCTCTTAAAAACTCTACCTTGAGATTACAGGACAAGTCTTGAATGTTAACCAGATTATGAAGACTAGACCCAGAGAGCCAGGCAGAAATAAGTTCTTAGTTAATACTTTTGAATGATGACAATACCATGGACCAAAAGACCTTAAAGAGAGTCTCTGTGCCCTGCATGGGTGGTTCAGTTGGTTGAGGCATTGTCTCATACACCAAAAGTTTGCAGGTTTGATCCCCAGTAAGGATGAATATGAGAGGCAACCAGATGACATTTTTCTCTTACATTGATGTCTCTTCCCCTCTCTCCCTTCTCCTGACTCAATAAACATCCCCTTGGGTGAAGATTAAAAAAATGGGGGAATCTCCCTCTGGCTCTTCCTCTCTCTTTTCCCATAGCAAATTAAATAAGATACATACCAAGCGCATGAGCAGAGAAATGGATTCCCGATTTCTGGTTTTAATCCTGTCAGTCTCCTGGCCCAGATGTAGGAGGCTGACAGAAGCCACCTGTAAGGGAAGAGTTGGTAAGGGAAGCAATTTTTACAGAGGTCAGAGTAGGACAGCCTCAGGCTACAGGACGTTAAAAGATCAAGGAGGAAAGTTAAAAAGGGCTGGGATGTTTCTGGAAACTCAAGTGGAAAAAGTGGCAAATTCCTTAGGTTTCAGAGATGCAAGTTGCCCGTAAACCAGCCAGTTTGGACAACAGGAGGTTGCCTGGGGTGCTGGGGGAGAGGTTGCAAGGAAAGAACCTAGAACAAAAGCAGGTAGTATTGCAAACCAGGAGGTTAATCTCTTTCCCTAGGCAGCATGCAAGCACCACACTTCACCAGGCTGTTTACAGCTGACTCCCTACCCAATGAGAGACAGAGCTGGGCCTCTGATTCAGGCACAGTGCTCTTGGTATCTTCCTCCTTTTTTTTCTTATTTTTTTTTCAAACAATTTGGACATAGCCTACAGTAGAATTAGCTGCTTGGTTGTAGGTACCAGTCCCTAGAAATCTAGACCAGTGGTTCTCAAAGTGACATCCCAGGATGAGCAACATCAACATAACCTGGGAACTTGGAAATGAGAATTTTCCAGCCTAGCCTCTAATCTTTTGATTCAGAAATTCTCTAGGTGGTTCTGATTTGTGCTAAAATTTGAGAATTTGAAAAACATTTGGCTTTTTGACAGTATTGCAGTTGGAAAGAGCCTTATGGATTATAAAACTCAGTGTCCCTCCAACTTTATTGTGCTTTAGCTCTCCTGGAGTTCTGATTAAAAACAGAGGCCTGGACTCACCCTAGGATATTCTAATTCAGTAGAACTGGTATAGGATTGGGAATGTGTATTTGAACAAGCTCCTTGGAATTCTAATACACACCAAGATAGTGAATGATGCATTTGGTTTAACTGCCCTATTTAATAAAAGGAAAGACTGAGGCCCTAAAAGTTTGGTTCTTCAGAGGTCATACAAATTCCTAGTAGCAGATCCAGAACTAGAACTCAGATTTTCTGACTCAGTCCAATGCTCTTTCCAAGTATTTGGGCAGAGGCTGAAATATTAGCTGTTAGAGAATTTAGAAGAAACTGTCTTTCACAAAGTGGCCCCTCATTACTTACTTAACAAATTATACAGCCTGCTCAACAATGACTGTCTATTGATTTAAGCCAAACCATTTCTCACCAGACTTTGCAGCCTTCCATTTCTTATCACCTAGACCCACTCACCACCAGAAATTCCTTAAGGTGAGTCTCAATGTTCTTGTTATAGAGTGTGAAGAGGGCAGCAGACACCTGGATGATGGCTTTGGTCAAGCAGTGTATATTGTTGTTGTAACCTAGGTTATTATTGACAGGGAAAGAAAGGGAGAGAAACAAAAAGAAATATCCAAGTGAGTCACTCCAGCCCTGACCAGCATAGTTCAGTTGGTTGAGCATCATCCTGCAAAGCAAATGGTCACTGGTTCAATTCCCAGTCAGGGCACATGCCTGGGTTGCAGGCCAGTGTGCAAGAGGCGACCAGTTGATGTTCCTCTCCCCCTCTTTCTCCCTCCATACCCCTCTCTCTAAAAATAAATACATAAAATATATTTTTTAAAAGAGTGAATCACTCCAGGCTGGTCCCAACTGGGAAGTTTTCGTTTTTCAGTCTGGACCATCCCTATTTAACAACTACAGGAGGCATTTGGGGATTTGAAGAAAGTATTCCTATGAAATTTCAGTGGAATTGAATTTTATGGATAGCCTTCTCAAGTGCTTTTTGAGAACTTTACACCTGAGTCAGAAGTCTCTACTTTCCAGGTAGGCAACTGTCTCTACCTCATCTCCTTAACCCAGGACAATAACCTAAATAGCACTGGTTCCTCGGACCTACTCCTTACTTACCATCCTTCTCAATGCTATAGAAGGAAGAAGGATCTGAGGCAAGGAGTGGGAGGGAAACTGCAAGAAAGATCAAGAGCAGGCAGGCCACCTTATATTCTTCCTCAGGGGATGACATATCTGGTAAGAAGGAAAAGAGAAGTAAGGTTAGCCCACAGGAATCATCCTCTGCAAGGGTCCTATTTCACAGAATTACTGAGGAACATATGAAAAAATATCTATGAATACACTCTATAAAGCACTGTAGGCAAGTCATTATTGCTGAAGGGGACAGGACTAGCCTACACTTACAGTGAGGGGCCTGAGTCCTTGGAGGCCTCCTCTGGTGACTGAGCAGAGCTCTTAGCACAGGACTCTGCTGACAAGCAATCTGAGGACACTGTCACCTGTGATGGGGTGGAGAGGCAGGGAGGAAAGGGTCTCACCAAAACCAAGAGAGAAGAAGGAAGGCCAGCCTGGCAATTTTGAAAGGGCTTAATGCCAGCCCCTTGGTTCCATCCTATTCTGAGTGTGTATAAGTATGAACATGCTAATCAGAGGAAATGCGTAATGGAAAATATGAGAGAAGTGTGAGACCTGGGGGAAAAGTGAATAATGTCACGGTGATTACATAGGAGGGGAAAGCACTAAATGACTCTGGGGAACTCAGATGCTATACCACACAGCTGAGCATGAAATCTTATACTACTGTGTATTATTCTCTCATTTGCATTCATCTTACTTCCCCAACCAAATTGTAAATTCCTTTGAGCACTTGCTGAGCAACAGACTCTCACTTAATACTTTTTAGCTGATTGGCAGGTCAACTGATTGGATTCTGACTAGAAATCTAAATTTCCTGTGTAAGAATTTATATTTTGTGGGGGTTAGGGACCACACTTTAAGTCTTTCCTTAGTCCCCAGCTTAAAGCTTCTGAATTTACACCCTCAAACAAAAGTCTTCTTTGACTTTGGCATTTTCCACCCAGAAATATGGCCCAAGCCCTCCTCTCCTCCTTTCCCCAATTTTACCAGCTTTCAGATTAGCAATAGCAGCCACCAGGGCTGGGTCAATGTCACAGCCCACTCCTGCAGCAGATGCCAGCTCAAAGATACTCAGGGTCACCTGGTAGAGAAAAAACCAACATTCTGGAGATGATTCCCAGGACAGAAGTACTTTGCAAAGGTTATAGGACATCAGGATTCCTAGATCACAGATTTTAAACTTTTGGTGTACTACCACATTTTCTAGGTATTCCTTTCATAGCTATCACTTATCTACAGGGGAAAAAAATGAAATGCTTTAGTTTGGCCTTCCCATACACCATAGTACAAATTTACTTTCTCATCCTTATTTCCCCAAACACTTCTTACAGTCAATGCAGCCAGGGTAATTTATTCACTCTTCAAATTACAATTTGTTTGCTTATTTCCATACTTTGGTTCATGGGCTTCCCTCTTCTAGAGTGTCTTTTCCTCTCCTCTACTAAATTGAGGCAAAACCCATTCCTTGAGGCTTAACTCAAATCTCATATTCTCTGTGAAGCCTGGAGGATGTCAGCCCAAACCCCTGTCTCCCTCCTTAAATTAGTACCACAGACTTAGCACTGGTCACATACAGCACCTGGTAATTTCAGTTATCTTTTCAGACAGGAGGTGAGACATATATGGCTTACCTCACCAACTAGATTATAATAATAATTTTTAAAAAACTCACGGCATGGAGAAGAGAGAAAAAGGCTTTAGAATGAGGAGATCTGGGTTCAAATTCTAACACTACCAATTACTAAATGTGTGACCTTCACTAAAATTTAAGTAACCTTTTCATGCCTCGGTGTTCTCATCTGTAAAACTGGGATAATAGTACTTACCTCACAGAATTGTTGTGAAGATTAAATTAGACTACACGTATAAAGCATCTAGCCTAGGGACTAATGGAGTAACTATATACATGACAAATATACATGAATTTCTTTCCCTCTGCCTTTATCTCAAAAGCTAGGAACTTTGCTTTTCTTTTTATCCTCTCTAGTGGTTAACACAATGCTAAGCACATAGAAGGCACTTGATTAATATTTACTGATTGATACCTGAATCCCTCATTGTTCTTAGAATCAGGTTCCCAGGATGTAGCCCCCAAACCCCCTACTCTAACATCAAGTACTTATCCCCATTTTGAGGTTAAAAAGGACCTTTAAAATATTCTGAGAGAACACAGATAATTGCTTCAATAGTAAACAATTAAGCATTGTATGCAAAGACCCCACAAACATAAAAATATACACACAATTTGCTTATACACTCCACACAGAAGCCAAACCTTAGCCACATTCTGCTTTGTCCTTTGTTTAAATTCCCTACTAACTAGATGACCCTGCTCATAGCAATCATAGCCTAGGAGATCAGGGACCTGGTCCAGGACATGTGGTTTTCTGGATGAAGAAAGGGATGATTGAAGGAGTCTTATTTTTCTCTTCTCCTAATCTTTTTACCCTTCTGAGGCAGTAACAGAATCTCTGATGGACAGGTCATCCCCCTCTCCACCTCTACTTGCTTATTTTCAAAAGCAGGCAGAGCCTAAAGCTCAGGGCTGTCTAGGAGATATCAGCTAGACAAGCTCATGACAGGCTAGGGCATTCGACCTCAACATCAGCAGCTTCCAGAATTCCAGGCTCACCGTAAAATTGTAAAATCAAGGGCCAGTCAAAAGGGGCAGCCATCCAGTGAAACATCACCCACTCATGGCCCTCATGACCGTTTGACCCTCATCTGATTTTACACAGACAGAGGGAGATAGTTCCCAGCTCTTTTGATCCAGATGTAAAGATGTGTTTCTTAACATCTAACTTTAACATTCTTCCTGCTAACCAGTTTCCTCTTATCACAAGCCTCCCTTCATTAAAACAATCAACAAGAGATTTAGCCTGTGCATTTAAACGCCCTTGTTCTCAACCTTCAGCTGTATTTCCTGCATAACGTATTTGTTTGTTCCAGATGATTCAAAAGACAAGATAATGTGAGGTAAGAGAGAAGAAGGGGAAGGGATGTTTAACTTGGCGAGACTACAGAAGCCCCTCTTTCTTTCACCATCTCTGTAGTGAATGGGACCTGAGGCAGGTGACACAGAGGAATCAGGTGTCAGAACTAGGGGAAAGAAAAGGCCAGAAAAGGAAATGAAACTGACAGCAGGCAGGGTGCGTGGGAATAGAAGGAATAAATCTTTTTGCAAGAAGTACTTAAGCTCCTGACTAAAGAGAGAACTTGTGTGTACATATTAAGTGAAAACTTACAGATACTGTCCTAGACAGAGCTTACACCTCTCCTTCCTGTAATGTTGCCCTAGCCCAGCCAGGCTCTCCCAGGCTCCCACTCTTCTCCATCCCTCCATGTCTCCCCAGCTCTGCCCTCTCCCTCCAGGAATATTTGTCTGACCAATGCCCCTCTCTCTCTTTATAAAATCTCCCCCAGTGTTTTCCTATTCTAATCCTGGCTCTTCTCCCTATAGTATTCTTCAGAGCCCTCTCTCCCTTACAAGATCCTAGCTACATCCTTTTTCAACAACAAATCTAATTGGACTCCACTTTGTACTCCCCTTTACCTTGATGTCTGTGTCTGGAGTGACGAACTCCTTCAAGCACTCGATGGGACCCATAAGAAATGGGCAGTGGGAGGAGAAAACCTAGACGAAAGAGAAAATAAATTAATCCACAGAACAGTTGGCCAATGCCTTCAAAAAAGGTGAAAACAAACCAAAACGAGGGCCTCAGCTTAAATAAGAACACTAGCTTAAATAAACCCCCCTCCCCTCACGCACCTAGGTTCCCTCAGTTCATCGGCCCCCAGAGGTATTCTAGGACCCCTACCAAATTAAGCTTTCTCCTCATCACCAACCCTTTCCACAACTCCTCATACAAGCCATACCCACAGAGGTATCTATGATTCTGTGGCAGCCCTCTCTCCCCCTACTCACCTCCCTAAGTCCCTCTTGTGCCGTGGCCCTAAAACTGAGGATAACTCCGATGATGGTCATGCGCTTCAGCACATTGTCAGCCCCTGAGGAGAAAGAAGAGTGTTGGAGAAGAGAACATAGGAGAAAAGTGGTGTTGCTGCTTCTTCAGACCCAGCCTAGCCCCAGATCCCCCCAAACCCTACCATCCATAGTGCTTCTCCCATAGTTCCTTCTCCCTTTAGGGGAGATGCTCACCTGTCAGCTGGGGCAGCAGAGAAGCCATCAAGTCTGCCTTGCTGAAGTTAGATCGGATCTGAACAAGCACATCCATGTTCTCCACCACCAACTTCTGCAGCCAGGACACAGAAACATTCAGCAGGAAAAGACGAGCCCCATGGTACATCTTCTCCCCAGCCTGCTACTCCTAACCCTCTTCCCCTGAGGCTAAACTTTTCACCCAGGGCTTGCTTCCACAGTACCTTCAGCTCCACAATCTGAGAGGTCACATGCCACATCAGGTTTTCACTCAGGAACTTCATACCGTAGGGGCCCAAGAGTTCAGCCAAGGCTCGCATCTCTGGAATAGAGTTACAGAGATCCCAGCTGAGATTCAGAGGATACTGGAGCATTTGCATAACAGCTATAGGGTAATTTGAACATTTAAGATGTTTTTCAGCAAGGAAAGGAAGTGGGAAGTTGAGGAGCAAAAGTGTCCTAATATCCTGCATTCAGGTGATAGGTCTGGCCTGCCCATGGGACAATTTACCTTCTCCCCACTGCTACTCGCACCAAGACTTACCACAAATGATAACTATTTACATTCTTATAAGAGTCTACACTTTCCCAATTCCCTTTATGTGGTAGCTGGGTTTCACTCTTGCTGGACCAGCTGTTGTAGCTTTCCTAGATATAAGACCTTGAACAAATCACTGACCCTCTCTGAGCTTTAGTTTGCTTTTCTATAAAATGAAGAAATAAATATCTGCCCTGAATACCTCATAGAGTTGACATGAGAATAAACAAGATACATTTTAAAAACCTTAGAACACTATAAAATGTATACATAAATAAGGGATTCATATGTAATTTAACAGACAAGAGTGGGTTAAGTGCTTGTTTAAAATCACTTAACCAAGTCAAGAGCTGGTACCAGAAACCTAGCACAATGCCCTACTGCCCCTTCCTGTGTCCCAGTGGATACCACAACTAGTTCCTTATCTGGCTTTTTCTATATTCCTCCCTCAACTTCTCTCACTTAACACCTCACTGTCCAAGTTTTCCTCTCCTTAAGCTACCTTTTCTTTTTTCATAATCAACATACATCCCCAGAGTTCCGATTGTTTTTTCCTCTAAATTCTTCTTTCCTCTAGTCTGCCCCAGTGCTTCATCCTCCCTACCCAGCCTGCTTCTGGCCTTTTGTGAATCAAATAAAGCTGCTTAGGGAGATCCCGTGTTCAAAACACCAGTGATAAGTTCAGACAGGGAGGAGCTCTAGCTATCATCTTTGGGTATGAGCTATCCCAGAAAGAAAAGCATAAAATACTAGAAGTAACAACAAGAAACCAGTAGAAAAAAGGTGAGTTTTATATAGTTAATGGAAGTCCAGAGGGAAGAGAAAACCAAAGCTCCATGCTCCAGTCTTTGAAAGCAAGGCCGGTTGACCTATACCTCCACGAATGGCTGAGGATGGGAACTGGTCACAGCAGCTGACACAGAGCCTTGTCCAGAGCAAGTACATTTTTAGAGTCACCTATTTACAGTAGGAAGATTAAGCTGACAACTGGAAAAGGATTTCCTAACCAGTCAATTTAGATAATGCCAAAATGGCTAACAAAGGGGAAAAGGGGCTGAATTTCCTTCTCTGAAGCAGATGGACAGGAGACGCACTGATCTGTCAGACCTCCTTACTCTAGTCTTCTCTACTCCAGGCTAGTAATCCTAGGGCTTCCTCCTCTTTCCATCTATCTATTTTTGGAGTAGTATTGTCCCATTACCATGGTAACCCAGGGAAATTGGGGTGGGGGTGGTAGAAGGGGGAATCAGCATTACCTCCTGCTGCTTGTCAGTTGTCACCAAGACCTAAAGCTGATTTTAGATGCTGCCTACAGTTTGTGGGTGGATTGATGAGAAGGGGACATCTGAAGCCTCCAGCAGATAAAGAGTAGGGTCAGCTTACTGATGGAGTGAGAAATAGCACAGGAAGAAGACAGAGCTGGAAAACAGAACTGCGTACTCTGACTTTTGAAACACCTCCAGGAAAGGGGAAAAATGGAGAGGGCAGGCCACTAAAACATCTCCTACCTGTCCCAGACACCATGTAGGAGCCATGGTTTATATGGAGGTGACAGGAAGGAGGAAGCAGTAGGAGAGTTCATCAATCAAGTCAGTCAGTAAAACAAATCTATGAAAAAGGATCTGTATGGCTTAAAGCTCTCTTTTAAAAAAGAATGACTTCCTGCCCTGGCTGGTGTGACTCAGTGGATGGAGCACCGGCCTGCGAACCAAAAGGTCACCGCTTCAATTCCCAGTCAGGGCTCATGCCTAGGTTGTGAGCCAGGTGCCCAGTAAGGGGCACGTGAGAGGCAACCACACATTGATGTTTCTCTCCCTCTCTTTCTCCGTCACTTCCCTTCTTTCTAAAAATAAATAAATAAAATCTTTTAAAAAAATAAAAAAGAGAATAACTTCCCAATTCAGTTACTACACACTTATTACCTGACCCTCCTTAAAACAAGAAAGCACTTCTGTATACTGGAAAGCAACACTACATAGTGATTAAGTACCTGGGTTCTGAAATTTGACTGCCTTGAGTTGAAATCCCAGTTTTACCATTTACGAATGTGTGACTTCAGGCAAGCTCCTTAAACTCTCTGTGTCCCATGTCCTCATGTGTAAAATGGGGGTGATAAGAGTATCTGAAGGCTCTTGTGAGGATTAAATGAGTTTATACATGAGAACATTGATAACTTAGCCCACAATAATTGCCATCCATTTTTTTCATCATCATTATTAAACAGCAGTAATCTAAGCACTGGTTAAGGCTCTAAAATGTATCCCTAAGAAAGAAGATACCATAACATCAGACCAGAGTTTAATAGTTCCAAGCATGAGAATGTTCCCCTTACATTTATCTTTTACCCTTCATCATATGTCCTACTGTTTTATTCTTGGTAGAGATGGAAAGTAACCATTTAGCAACCTTTGAACAATAGATCCTTTCAGGGACTTGAGTGCTCCTGCCCAACTCCTAACACCCCTCATTTTCCCTCTCCACCTTCAATCCTCAGGCCACTCCTCAATTCTGAGTCTTGCTTAGAATCTTTCCCTCCCTCCCTCTCGCTCTCTTTCTTTCTTTTTCTTTCTTTTGTCCCTAAAGTGGAATCTAGCAGAGATGCTAAGGATAGTGTAATGAGCTTCTGGGAAGGTAAGAGAATTTAGATGGGGTCCATAGGCTGACACTGTATCAAAGGGAAGGACTCAGCTCCTGGGTGAGGAGACCAGGCCCTGGGCTCACCAGAGATGTCAGAGAACTCCTCTGCACTGAAGGGTTGCTCCTCCTCTCTGGGAAGGCTGACGAAGGCCTGCATGGCTGGGGAGAAGATGATGGTCCCACTGCTCGCCTGTCTAAGCAGACTTTCTAGGTACCTACAGAGTTGGCCAAGAAAGCACAGAAAATTAGTGTTCAGTCCCTTCTCCCTATCCTTGCTTCCTACCATTACCACTGGGCCCAGAAAGAGAAACCCCACCAAAGGCTGGGGTGGGGAGAAGAAACTCAAAGAAGATGGTAAAACACCCTAATTAACACTCCAAACATTGGCTCAAAAAGACCTGGCAGTAATATAATTCCACTTTGCCTCTAATCTTCAGGGCTGTCAAATGTAATGGTGTACACTCCCCTCCTCCAGCCCCTTTTCTTTTCCACCTACTGCTCTTGGCTTTTCTCTGCCAGGTAAGACAAGCCCAAGGTGACAAGAAAAAAGTTCCTACTGATTGGGCCTCTCTGAAATATACTTAGCCTTAACCTTTCCAATAAGAACATTGGACGGAAGACCTAGAATCTTGGAAGTGGGTCTCAAGTCAAAATTCTTGGACAGGGAGAAGCCCCAGGAACACTAGCTATCCAGTCTCCAAATATTCCCTTCTGACCTCTGGGCAAGCTGAGAAGCCCTCCAGCCAGTGTCAGCAGAAGAGGCCTTGGCCAAAGCATGCCATTCACCCAGGCACTAAGTCTGGGCTTAGATTTTACAGAAGTCTCCAGCTAACCACTAAAGGTGATTTTTTTTTCTTTTAATTTGAGCTAGTTGTTCAAAAGTTTGAAACTGAGAGATGTTACATTAAAACTAAGGATTTAGTAGGGCAGCGAGCCAGAGGAGCTAAGTGACAGCTGCCCCTTTAAAGAGGCATGCCCTCCCCTACTACCCAAAGTTCCCATCTAGCCCACAATACCCCAGGTCCCTTACCTCTCAGGTCCCTGTTGGTATTTGTATTTGCAAACTTTGTCTTTCCCCCTACCCAGGGGGTTATGTGCAGCCTGTTTCCTGCTGAGCTGATACTGGATTAAGAGTGCCACCCAGTGGCTTGGGGAAGTAGAAATCAGGCTCTTTTCCATCCTTAAATTTTAAAAGAAATACTGCTCCTACTTCCTCTGGTTTGGCAGAGGAGGCCCACATCCTATTAAAAATAATCTGCTAGAGAAATGGTCATGTCTGGGGTTGAAGAGATATCATGTCTGGTGTTCCAGACAGATAATGTTAAAATGGTTTTTGGAGGAAGAAGCTGGGTGAAAAGAGAAAGAAGGGAACTTCAAAAAGTGGAAGAGAGATAATTTGAAATTAAAATAGAACCCAGAAAAGGAAAGTTGAGAACTAGAACTTAAGAGGAAAAATGTCACACTGCTACAGAGTAGGTCAGTGGATGTTACAAGGAAGATTAGAAAGAAACCTCAAGGTGGACAGAAGGTGCCCCAGCTTATTGCTCCAGTCCTCAGGCAGAAACAAGCCTTCATTTGAGGGACTGTAACCCAGGGAGCTAAAATGCCTGGACCCAAATCCTGCTGTGTTGAGGGAAAAATGCAAACAAAGCGGTAAGGCAGACTGAAGATAAACAACACTGACCAATTTGTGTAGAGAGTGGTGATCGTCTGGTCCCCACTTGAGTCCAGTGGCTGTGTCTGTTGCAGAAGGGCACTGCGAATGACCCTGGAAACATCTGCACCCAAAAACTGGGCCAGGGACTGTATGAAACTGATGTATGCTTTGACTCCAGCCAATAGCTCAGAAGGCCTTGCAATCTCCTGGGTCGTGGCATTGTAGCCAGCCAGCCACACAATGGCTCTGGGTGACAAAAATCATAATTAAAAACCATAATGATAAACATAGTCACAGTTACCACATTTACACTGTGTTCCAGATGCTGTGCTATGATTTTATTGCATGCATTATATCATTTAAACCTCACAGCAACCCAAAAACATAGGTACAATTATTCCCATTTTACAGATGAAGAAACAGAGATACAGAGAGAGTAAGTCACTTATTTTCTGTGAAGACCACACATCTGGCAATTGGCAAAGCTGGGACTTGGATCCCATAACATTGGATTCTAACCACTGTGCTCTTCTGCCTACTCTGGAGAAATTAGGTCAAGTGGTAAAAGACCTGGGCTCCTGAATATCATCTAATTCTACCTGAGGGCTCATACCACCTGCATTCTCAGGACCAGTATTTTGTCTTTTCTCCTTGGAAAGAATTAGTTCCAACCACAGTCAGAAATAGGAAACCACACCTAGAAACCTTTGGAAGTGCAGTGCAATCCCTGGAGGCCAGGGGATGCGGGGCGCTGGAGGAGGAGCACACTTGCCTGGCATGCAACTGTAGCCAACCCTAAAGTAGGTGGGAGGACTCTCCACACTGTATAGCAGATCCTCGAACAACATCTTTCTCTTAATGTTGATCTTTTCATTTAACATTGATGTGATGTCATAGGAACTTAACTCCTTTTTTATACGGTAAAATTGGTTTTCTTATATGTTGTTTCACTTGAAGTCACAGAACCTATCAACTATGCTAAGTAAGGACTTACTGTATTATTTTGGAGGCACACAGAAACACTCATTCCCACTGCACCCCCATCTCCTTCCAAAATATCTTCCCAGTGAGGCTTTTTTCCTTGTTGAAAGGTAATGGAAAGGGAAACATCCCATTTTGCCAAAGCCTACATCAGTCATTTGCACCTCAATAGGAATGAATTAATTAGATTCTTCCTAAAGCCACAGATGTTTGGGGAGCTTTTTGGTTTTGTTTTGGGCAAAATGTTTATGGCAGGGGAGCTGAAGGGAACAGAAGGGCCTGTTCCCCAGAGGACAAGGAAAAGAGAAGAGAAACCACTTGAGGGAAAATAATACAAAAGGGGCAGACTCAGGCCAAGCCTAGCCTATTTTAGAATTTTCACTGATGCCAAATCTCTAGGCCAACGTTGGGCCTTCAGGAACAATGATGCCAGTGAATAAAGTATTTGAGATGTTCAAGGAAAACTAGAATATCACACCCATACTGCTCCAAGGCCTAGAAACCACTGCCAGCTTCTGAAGGTTTATAACATGGACAGTTATCAATTTGTTATCTTCTTGAGGGTGTCTATGAACCCGAGATACTTCTTTCCATTACCTAGTATATAGAATGAAAACAAACTAAATTTACTGTCACAAAAGCAAAAACCTAATTGAAAAAACAAGTGTGCATCTCCTACAATGAAAACACGGACTCCTGACCACTGTCGCTGCTTCTGTCCCTGCCTTCTCAGTGCAGCCAGAGTGAGCCTCTTGAAATATGGAGTAAAATCTTGTACTGCTCTGCTCAAACCCTGCGAGGCTCCCTATCTAACTCAGAATAAAAGCCAAAGTCCTCACAATAACACAGGAGCATCTGGACAGTATGTCACTCCTGCAGCCTCTTTAATCTCATGTCCCACCAGTCTCCCCCTCATTCATTCTATTCCAGCCTCACTGGTCTCCTCCATGTCCCCTGAACATACCAGGCAAGTTCCCACCTCAGAAACTTTGCACTTGCTGTTTCCTCTGCTTAAACTGTTCTTTCAGTCACATGATTGGCTTCCTCACTTCCTTCAGGAGTTTACTGAACTGTCACGTCCTCAAGCAGGCCTTGCCTGGCCTCTCTATGTAACACTGCAACACACCAACACACACACACACACACACACACACACACACACACTTCCTATCTCCCTTCCCTGCTTTATTCTTTTTGATTGGCACTTATCTAATCTAGCATATATTCTACTTTGTTGTGTTCATCAAGCTTCCCCACTAGAAGGTAATTTTTCAGGGACAAGGAATTTTATGTTTTGTATACTGATGTATTAACAGCTTCTACTAGAACACTGCTGACACACACAGCTTGTTCAATAAATATTTGTTGAATGAATTAGTGAATATACTACATATTCCCAAATAAAACATAGAAGACTAGGTATTATTCACGATAATTCCTCCCCTCGAACCTCTAATTTCTGACCATAGTGCCCCATTCCAATATAGGGAATGTTTCTCCTACTTTGGGGACAATGGAATGAGGCGCAAAGTGGAAGGAAGAGAATCTATTTTATGGAGGCCTGTTATACATATGTATGTCAGGAAGAACCTTGCACTCATTTTAATCTTTAATTATCTACCAACTCTCAATTACACATAATTCCCAATTACCTCTCTATAAGGTAAATATTGTTATCCTTATTGCACAGGGTAGGAAACTAAGGCCCAAACAAGTTGAATAACACACTCAAGTGCCTTAGTGAATGGCCAGGATCTCAGCACAGTTCTGCTAACAGCAAAAGCTCCACTCATTCTACTAAACCAGTGATGATGAACTCTGGTTGTTCATCAAAGCCACTTGTAGAGGTTTGGGGTTCTTTTTCATTTATTTGCTTTTAACAGAGATGCTTGGGAACCTATGCCAGATTGACGGCACCAGGATCTCCGGGGTGCAGCATGACTACCAAGATGAACCTAATGGAACCCAATTTTGACAATGACCACACTATACAAACATAGAAGACAAAGAAATAGTGATACCTGTTGAATCTGGCCTCCAGATGGCTGCTGAGGTACTCAGAAGGGAAGATAGTGTGTTCAAATACAGAGAAACTGAATACATGATTCATTGTCAGTGCCAATTCTGTCAAGTTTACATGTAGTTTGTCCATGCTGCATAAAATTGAGAAAGTAAAATGAGCCTTGATTATGGGTCTGGCAGTGCCTGCTATTATCTGAGAGGGATGTGTTGGCCATGACCTTCAGAGCCCTTTCATCTTCTAGGAACACTCAGCCTAAAACAGTATACATTGAGACTGTATACAAAGGCAAAGCAGAAAATTCACATTTAAATGCTTTTCCATATTTGTCATTTCCCACCACCACTTCTACATTCTTTTGCTATATCACATTCCCTCTTCCCCGTTCTCCTTCCTTTGATGTAGTGCCCAATTGGACCTCTAGGGCCCAGATTCTCACTTGGTGACAATGCTGCGATTCTTTCGGTGACTTTCAGCTCCTGGCTTGTCTCGCTCAGGTTCTCCTTTTTTGGGAGTCTGCTTCTGCTTCACAATTTTCTTGTTCTTGGCCTTGCTGATAGTAGTGGCACAGTGCTTGGGCAGAAGCTTTCAAAACAAACACACGTGAATGGAGAAATGAAATTAGTTCCTAAAACTGCCAAGTAGCCCCTGTAACAGTTATAAAAAGGTTCCTCCATGATTTCCTGTCTTTTTATCTTTATGCCTTTCTCTCTCTTGCCTTCCAGTATCTCTTTCTCTAATGGGGGCCTATTTGCAAAGTGCTCACTTCTTTTAGTTTTTGTTAAATATCTCCCTATGTTCAGGCTCAGAGTTTCAATATGGCAGTGTCTTTCAGGGATCAGATCATCAATTCCCTACCCACATCCCAAAAGATTGTCTTTCCTACTGGGAAAATTCGAGTAAAATGAATACAATCTAAGAGCTCCACTCGACTATACTACTAGGGTCTTCCAACCTGAAAGACAGTTGTTTTTTGCTGGTATGGAACCACAATCTCACCTGCTGCATTCCTTCATATTCTGTCTGTGGAGACAGTTACCACACTACCACAGACACCGAAGACTCAGAGCTCACAATGTGGCCAGTTCTCTCTACTACTTTTCTTTCATTTGTTTTTTTTTTTAAATAAGATATCATATTTTTCTCGATAGCTACTTTAAACATAAATTCTGCATCTCTTCTCTTCCCCCCAAAGACCCCAGTTAGCCATACAGAAAATCGAAGTTAGACCTTACATATTTCAGGTATGTCCTTCAAAGTAATCACCTCAGAATTCTCTCCTTTTAATCAAATGTTGTTGAGGATGTGCAGAGAGGATATCTGGAAACTCCTCATTTGGAATTACTCTCTGAGCAGCATAGAGCCATAGAAAATTGGTTTTGTTACTTTATAATCACACTTTGTTTTTTTAAGTCCAAACTATTAGTGTTTCCAAGAAATCAGGTCTTCCTTGATGGACAAAGGTGTTTTGACCTTGAAATTATGAGAAAGCGTCTGTGGTGGAAAGTGTCTAAGAGTGGAAATACTGGAAAATTTAATTCTATTAGTAATGGCAACATCACAAATTATTTATTCAAAATGATAGCTTTGAAAGTGCCAATATTTATTTGATTGCAAAAGTTCCAGCATGTGTGAAAACAATTGCTCACATGTTTTAATCATCCATGATTCAGAACTGAGCAAAACTGTGTTCCTTGAATGTAGTAGATATTCAAAGTGAATGATGAATATATCCATATATGTACTTTCTTGTACTAATTATTTAACTATCTTTCAAACGTGTGTTTTTATTTCTTTTTTCTTTAAACTGGGACATTCCCCTAGGGCAGGGACTGTGTACCTTCCTTCCAGGACCCCATCCCAAAACCCACCTTAGTAGCCAGTAAATAAGAAATAATCTAACAGCTAACATCTATTGAGAGTTGTATAACAAATATTTAACATACTTTATTTTATTTAATCTTTATGATACCTCTATGAATAAACTATTTTTATCCCCATTTTACAAATGAGAAAATGTAACAGTTACATAATAATATAATTGTGCATATGTACACATACAACCGGGCTCCCCTTCTACCAAAGTTTCTTCAAAGCCTGACTCAAACCCAGGAAAGGGTGAGTAGTCTGGGCAACCTGAAAGACTCCAGGCCAACAGCAGAACAAGTCCTCACTTTCAGATTTTCTGAAATTTAGGTTGAGCTAATCATGGCCAGGTGTTATGAGTCAGTCAAGGGAAGGCTCAGGAGGGGAAAACAAGCAGACAAAAACAAGAAAGCAGCCCTGAGGATAAACACAGAGGAGCTGCCTAAAAATGTTCAGACAGCTACAGATTAGGGTGCAGATAGACAGAAAGGTAAGACAAGACAGGTGATCTGGGGGCCACTGTCCAAGTATATGTGCACAGGGCAGGGAAAAGAGAAGTAAATGAGAAAGTTGACTCATCTCTCAGAATTCTTCAAATGACAACACAGTTTTTGTTGGTGTGCAGCTGTTCAAATAAGTATTTTTAGACAACTCTAGTCCTAAGGGAGTAAAGACTTAAGGGACTATGCTAAGCAAAGAATCCTGCCATAAACTCAAGTACACAAAAGCTCTAGCCCTACTTATGAGAAAGTGTTTAAAGAACTTCAAAGTTGCGAGGAAAACAAAGGTTGGTAGAGTAAAAGGCACAGAGGGAGAACAAAGGGGAAAGTTCAGCAGAGAAAGGACTGAGACTACCTGTTCACTCAAGTTTCGCTGCTCAGCACAGATCTCCAGGACACAGTTACTGGTCTGCTTGGCCAACTCTTCCAGGAAGGAGTTGCAATGATGAAGGCCATGGTTCTTCAGGTGGGGGTACTTTGGGAAAGAAGAACCACAGAAAAAATTACCATTACCAAGATAGCCACTTCTCCCTCATAATACTGTTCTGCATCTCTAGCCTGAGCTATCTACTCCTTCTACAGAAAAAAAACCTGAGACCCAGAGAGAAGACATAGTCCACATAAAGCTGTGACGCTGAGGGACTCATATCACATACCTATGTTTGTACCCTTCTTGGGACAAAAATCAACTCTTGAGCCCTGGCTGGCGTAGCTCAGTGGATTGAGCGTGGGCTGCGAACCAAAGTGTCGCAGGTTCGATTCCCAGTCAGGGCACATGCCTGGGTTGCAGGCCACGGCCCCCAGCAACCGCACATTGATGTCTCTCTCTCTCTCTCTCTCTCTCTCTCTCTCTCTCTCTCTCTCTCTCTCTCTCTCTCTCCCCCTCCCCCCCCTTACCTCTCTAAAAATAAATAAATAAAATCTAAATCAAAAATCAACCCTTGGAATTGTGTCTTGAGGGACTATGAATGAGATATGATTCAAGAGGTGACAGGATTTGGAGTTCAGGGTACCTACCTCCTCCGGGCACATCTCATGAGTGCAGTGAACAAAATGAGCACAAATCAGGGGGAAGGCAATGGCATAACGCAACATTGAAGGTTCCTCCAGGGTCATAGTGAACATCTTCTCAAGGGTACGGAGATGAAAGCTGCAGAGAAAAGGAAAGCACAGTAAAAACCAGGGTTTAGGATCTGATCACTCTGAGGTAGAAAAAATACTCATTCCTTCAACAAATATTTGTTGATATCCACCACTCCCTTCATAATTTTCCTACCCTTAAGGTAGATAGGAACTCAAGAAACCTAGCTCTTTCAGACTTTTATACTTTTTCCTTTTCACCATTTTGTGATTTGCTAGTTGAAGGACAAAACAAAAATTTGCTCTTCCTCCCTCAGAACCTCTGCATGATTTAAGCCATTCCTCTTAATTTAAAAGCATTTCAGTACTACTAATTCACATTACTCCCAAAATTGAACACTCAGGCTCCAGAAAATTTTCTCAGATCAATTCCATGAGACTGCTCTTTCCTCAACCTTACATCCTCTCAACATCATGCACTTTTTCTACATTCCCTTACATTTGCAAGTATTATGTTGATGTCCCTTTCACGCGTGGGTGTTTTCTCTCCCCATCTACATTAAATGCAGAGAGCAGAGACAACATTCTGTGTCATTTGTTATTAACAACAGTGGTTACATAATAAATGCTGAATGATACTAAGGAACACAAACTAATTTTTATTCTCTAAAGGCCCTATTCTCCAGCCCTCTAGATTACTTTCAGTTCTCCCCACTAAACCCACAAGCTTTGCATATCACTTCTAAATCACAATGTCCAAAGAATAAAAGAAGGTTCCAAAGATAACAATAAGGAAAATGATATATTGATGAATTATCCCAGAAAAGAGAAGGCTGTGTAAAATCCAAATGATTTTCCTAAAGAAAGCCAGAACAAAAGGGAATCAACTTCACATTCCTATCAGTTAGTAGAAACTGAAATGAGTAAGCTGTGGAGTTTGAGCATCATCCTTTAAGGAGATCTCAAAGAAAACAAGACCTTTCCATCAGTCTGGGCCAACTGCAGTCCTCCACAGTTGTCATGCAAGAGATCAGGTGAACTGATGAAGAGCTCTGAATCAGGACATACCAGAAAGTAGACAAGTCAGAAGTTTCCACAAGCATTTTCTCTACTGAGTCCAGCATTCGGGAGTGAAAGACAATGAGGTTCATCACCTTGGCTAGGTCAGGGTTCTCATACAGGTGCAGGGGAGCCTTAGCCACACTGGTGTATGCCTGTGGTTGGAGTTGGGAAAAGGGTGGAGAAAAACAAGATAAATGAAAAATAAAACAAGCCACAGGGCTACAGTTTGGCTTGGTTTTTCCTGCCCAGATAACACTTTTCAGTGTTGAATCATGCCATATAACAGAGCTTAGGATATAAAAACAGAAGAGATTGTGGGGGAGGAAGAATCTGAGAATGGGGAACCATTAATAGGAACAGACTTACCTGTAGACGGAACCAGTCCAGCCTCAATCCAGAGAATTCAAATTTCTCTTCATTATCAACTGCAAGAAAAGCAGAAGTTTAAAAGGAAATAATAAAGCAGCACTCTATATCCAACTACATAGAATGGTAGATACTCTTCAGGTCACCTTGTCCCATTCCCTGGCTCAAGAGATCAATATTTCTAGAGAAAAAAAAAAACTGATGTTCACCCTCACACTTACCCTGCCTCCTCTACTTCCCTTCAGTTACCTTGTTTGAGATTCAAAGAAGAGAGAGTACTGACGAATGAGGACATGATAATGGACTCTTCCTCAGGACACACGGACAGGTTCTAAGAAAGAAGTTGGAGTTACTATCAAGTGGGCATATGTTTTACCAGGATAGAAATGAGGACCACAAGGTTCAGTCAGTGTGTGAAAGTAGAAAGAATTGCTAATGCCACAAACAGAACGAGCCAAGCAAAAGATGGAGGAAACTCCCTGGGTCCCCTGCCATGCTAACACCTAATTTCTCTTTATTTTTCTCTCCTATTTCTCTGTAGCTTCACCTTAGGGCAGAGGGGAGGACTGCTGAGATGATTAGTCTTTTTTTTTTCTTTTAACAAATGTAGAGGGGGAAAGTAGGCTTTTTGAGAGTTAGCCAGAGTATTCCCCAGGGGAAATGACCAGGGATCACCCCAAAATTCCCAAAGTATAATCAATCAACTAAACATACTTGAATGATGTCACTGAGCACAAGAGCATCAAATCTGGCCAGGTACTGAAGGTGGTATTGCTGTATCACTTTGATGTGTTTTCGGACCAGGGCCCTGATCTCCTCCAACAAGAAAAGCAGTTCTGCAATGCTCCTACAAATTCGATGATGGGAACAAAGAAATGTATGATACTACAAGTATGAACTAAGACAAAAACAATGGTAACAGAACAGAAATTGAGACTTCCTAAGCTCACTTGATGCATCCTTGTCCCTTTTCCCAGTCCATTTAAGGTCAAGATTTTTTAACCATATCAAGTACTAACGAGTCAGTGTAGTCCTCAGGTGTCTTTGTCTTGGTGACATTTTCTGAGTGGCGAACCAGCCAGGTGACCTCATCACGAATGAAGGAGAGGGCCATGAAAGCATATAGAGCCTAAGGAGAAGACAGCAACTATGAGAATTTTCAGCTTTAAAAATGCATTTCAAAGCACAGACAAAGCTATCATGATAATATGTATATAAATACAATTGTACAGCCAATGACAGTGTCCAATAAACACAGAGACCCACAAAAAACTGTGTAACACAAAATCAGACATGTTCATATATTGACATTAGCTCACAGTCAATCCTCTTTCCTCCCTATCAAATTAAGTTTTAGAAATATTTACTAGGCATCTATGTGATTTTAAAAAAGCAATCTCTGTCTTCAATTGGTTTACACCCAAGTAGGAGATAAGTACACAATTGGCTAAAATACATGATACACTATGACAGTGCCCAAAAAAGAGATACAAGAAGTTTGGGATACTGCAAGAAGATTCAAGGGAATTAGTATATACATATACAAACAGATATCAGAAGACTCAGAAATGCAAAACCTCATGAATGCCAAGTCAGTCCCCAAATAGAATCTTTTATCATCATCCCCCTCCCAACATTTCTTTCTCTTACCTTGGGGCCCAACAGTCCTGGTTCATCAGCTAACACAGTCTCTAGCTCCTTCACTGCCATCCGCAGGAATTGGCGTCTTTGACAGTGGAACTGGCCACTGAGGAAAAAAAAAAGTGAAAACAAGAAAATAGTCTGTCCCACCCTTAAAAATCCTCCAAAGGCAGCACAGAAAAGAGCTGCACTTAGGAAGGGGTGTCAGGCAGAGGAAGGTTCAATGCTATAGTTAGACTTTGTAAGAAAACACAAGAATCTGGAGAGCAGCAGCAAGTTCTTGGGTTGAGACAGTAAGCCTGGACAGAAACCAGGGGTGGCCTAGGTGAGAACAAGGGTTAGGAGAGATTCCTATTTCATCCCCTCTTGGAGAACCCATTCCCCACCTTTACCTGTTCACAATTGCATGTTCCTTGCTTTCCTTTATGTCTGCCACTCGCTTGCCATACCTGAGGATTGACATAAGCACAGTAGGTTGGGCCATACCACTGGCTAGAGGCCTTGTCCCACCTCCCGGTCCTCAGAGATTCCAAACTACAGCCTGGGGGGCATGGGTAACCCTCAGTATCAGGATTTTTCAAAACCCTACTCCTACCCTGGCTCATAGGGACTCATAGAACTTAGAGATCATTCAGTTTTCTTCATAAACTATAAATCTCATTATTTTGCAAATGAAGAAAATAATACCTCAAGGAAAATGACTTGGGGTCAAATAGGGTTTTAATGGCAAAGCTGGGAGTAGACTTCTTGTCCTATGCTCCTGCCTTGAAAACTGCAAGCCAAAGTACTCTTTCAGATTTGAGAGAGATAAAAACAGCAGTATATAAATAAATATGACATAAACCCTGCTCTCAAGTAAAAGAGTTACTTCAGCTCTACTTTGGTCCCCTTCCCAACTCCCACCTCTTAGAATTTAACTTTATCAGTTAGTTATCCCTTTGTCATTTAAATCTCTCCCTCTGCACTAGTTTATCTTCTTCTCTCAACAAATAAGTTCAAAGCCTTCCTTATTCTAAAAAGATACTTGTTTGACCATGACAATCTACTAAACTTTGGCCATTCTCCTACACCACCAAACTCCTCCAAAGAGACACCTATGCTCTTTTTACTTCACCTTTCATTGATCCTTGAATCTCACAGGCCTTTGACAGTAAGCAAATTACTCTCTCTAAGGTCAATGTGAACTTTGAAATCACCTAATTAAATGGCGTTCCCATTGTTTGTGTTCTGTCTATAATATTTAACTTTCCTCACAATATCTCTTTTTTTGCTGTGAGTAAGCCATGCTCAAAAATCCCACGTTAGCTTAGGCTCTTTGCTCTCTGTGTTCCTTACATCTGTCTCCTCTTGTTCTGCATCACAGTTGCCACCTCATTAGTCAGACTTCACAATCTTTCATTTCCCTTCTCCAAACCACTCCCTTATCGATTGCCAGTCAAAGACAATTAGAGTTGGAAAGTATCTTAATTAAATCAGGATTTCACTCCCTGGCAAATAATTATTTCAACCTCTACATGGTACAATGGAAAGAGACAGGATTAAGAGTTGAAATATCTGGAATTATTTCCTAATTCCAACTCTTAAATGAGTGACATTTAAACTGAGTTTCCATTTTGTCATTTATTTAAAAGACATTAATACTTATACCTGATTATAAGTGTCATGAAGATCAAATTATATCGCTTATGTCAAAGACTCCCTAAACTATAAATCTCATATGTTACTTGTACTTAGTGATGAGGAACTGAACACTCTTCAAACATCCCTTCAATTCCTCAGAACTGGTAATCATTAGAAAGTTTTTCTATGTATCTAGACCTATCTAGGTATGCAAATACAGCTATATCTAGATATATAGATATAGATCCAAATCCACTTTCTATAACTTCAAATTATTAACCTTATATTAACTGTCTCTTAATTCTAACAATGACTTCTTTTATGATAATACCCATTTGTTGAGAGTATGAAGAATAAGTGTTCAGATAGACTGTAAATAATATATCTGTTTAGAGAGCAATTTAGTAAGCTATTAAAATTTGAAATATGTCTTTACCCCAGAAATTCCACTGCTGAGAATTTACCCTATAGAAATGTTCACAGAGACATATGTCTAAGGATGTTCATTACAGCATTGTTTGTAATTTTTTTAAGAGTAGAAACATTTCAAATGTCCATCAATAAGGGACTGGGTAAATAAATTATGTTACAAGCACAAAATGAAATATTATTCTGCCCTAGCTGGTGTGGCTCAGTGGATTGAGCACCAGCCTGAGAATCGAAAGGTCACCAGTTTGATTCCCAGTGAGGGCACATGCCTAGGTTGTGGGCCAGGTCCCTAGTAGGGGGCGTGAGAGAGGCAACCACACACTGATGTTTCTCTCCCTCTCTTTCTCTCTCCCTTACCCTCTTTAAAAATAAATAAATAAAATCTTTTAAAAACACACAAAATACACTAAGTGAAAAAAGAAAGCAAACTGCAGAACATCATGTAGAGTGTAGATCCACTGTTTTTTTTTTCAATTCTTACATAATGTTGAAAATACATGCACACTTTTACATGTTTATAGATAAACACGAGTATCTGGAGGACATACACCAAAAATTCTAAGAGGGAGATTGTAGTCAACTCCTATTTTGTATTCTTTACATTTCTGGATATTGGTTTTGTAACTATAAAATATAATAATAAAGGTATTTGACCCCTTCCTTGATCCCACACCTCTTTCTCATTATAGCTCTCCCTCTATTCTTCCCTTCACAGTCAAACTTCTTGAAAGAGTTATTTATTAAATTCCTTATCTCTCATTTGCTCCTAAACCTATTATAACCCAATTGACAACCTCAACACTCAACTGAAGTTGTTCACAAGAAGGGTGCTAAGATCATTTTTATATACAGCCAAATCTAATAAACATTTTTCAGTCCTCACTTCATTCGACCTCTCAACATCATCTAATACAGATAAACAGTCCTTCTGTCTTGTAATGCTGTCTTCCCATGCTGTCTTCCCTTGACTTCTGCTCTCCCTCTTCCTTTCAACACCCCTCACTGATTCCTCTGCCTCTGCTGGCCCGTAAGTATCAATATTTCTAGAGGTTCTCTCCAAGTCTCTTCTCACTCTACATGCTCCCCTCAAGTAATCTCACCTACTCCTATAGCTTTGATTACCATTTCACCAATCTTCGTCTGAATACAGATCTCACTCCTAAAGTCCAGAGCCACAAAGTAAAAGGCCTAACATGCATCTATATTCAATATATCCTACGGACACTTCACATTCAACCTGCTCAAAACTGAGTTCACAATCTTTCCCCCACAAACTTGCTTTTATTCCCATGTTCTCTATCTTAAGGAATAGCAAGAATCCATACCAGAAAGCTTGATTTCATCCTCGAGTCCTTCTAACTTAATGAATCTCTCTCTCTACTGTCTCCCTCTACTTTTCTTCACTGGAGCCAGGGTGATTCTTTTTCTAAAATGCAAATACAATGGGATCATGTCACTCCCCTGTTTAAAATCACTCAGTGACTTCCTATCCTTTTTAGAATGTGTTCACACTCTATGATGGGACATACAAAGGCCAGAAATTACCTCTCTAAATCTGTCTCTTGACATCCACACCTTTGTAACCCAGCTGCCCATGCAGTGAGAGCTACATGCATTTCTTAGCATTGGACATGCTCTCTCTTGCCTCAAACTTTTGATAGTTTCTTTGACTTGGATATCTTTCTCTGCCTTAAGCAACTTCCCTAACTTTAAACACATGTGTACACACACACACACACACACACACACACACACACACACACTTCACGGGTTTAACTCTTTTCAGGTCTGTCTCCAGGTTTTTCTGGATCCTCCAAAAGCAGTTTAAGTGTCCTTCTAAATACTTTCATAGCACTTTGTGTTTTATACGTCATAATCCCTTACTATATCATAACAGTTTGTCTATTTTTCACCAATTTTTAGTAGCCTTGAGAGCAGAGATTCTGTCTTTTTCTATTTAATAAGCACATATATAGCACTTACAGTGTACCAGGCAATTTTTAAAGAGTAATTCTTTCAATCCTCATAACAAACCTATAAAGCAGGCCACAGGGAATTACTATTATTATCCCCATTTTATAGATGAAGACATTGAGATATGGCATGGAGAAATTAGGTAACTTGCCGAGATCACACAGCCAGTAAGTCGTAGAGCTAACATTCAAACCCAGCTAGTCAGTTTCTTTAGTCCATCCTCTTAACTTCTATTCTATCTTATTAATTAATGTATCCCTAAGTAAAGTGAAGTGCCTAGTGAACAGCAAGTATTCAATATTTCTTCAACAATTAGAATTAATCTTTACCACCCATACTCAGGACATTCATGGAGGCTGAAAAAGCATGGGAGGAGGGGATAAAAATCCTGAAAGAAGATGAGTTTGGTTCTCATGTCTCACCCTTTAAAACTGCTAAACAGGTCCTCGGTGACCTTGTGCACCTGCAGCACATCGTCCCGGATGAGGGTGATGTACAGGGAGCCCTGCAGACACTGTTTCCACAGCTTCTGGCACTGGGTATTGGAGTTGAGGCACCCATGACAGAGAAGAAACCCAACTGCAGGTGGGTAAAACATTACAGAGGAAGATTTCAGAAACTGCTATCCATGTAATGTGCTGCTATATCTCTGCCCACCTAATCCCACCAAACATACTGATAATCCAGCGCTCCATCACTTCCACAGAGAGGTATTCACAGGCCATCTGTGGGAGGAGAGGCAGATGTGGTCATGCAGTTATTTTACTTGATCTTCCCCCAAAGGCTAATGCAGTCAGCTAGAATGTGAATACCAAAACCAACGTTTATTTTACCAAGCTGGATTACACCACCCTGATAAGCCAATAGCTAGGAAATCTGCCAATAATAGAGGTAAGGCACTGGAAGTGAAGTAAGGGAAAGAAAAGGGAAAAGAGCTTGGGAGGAAGTCAGAACAAACAAAAGGTTTAACATAACTTCCCTTCAACAGTTCAATTTTTAATATAGTTTATTGTTATGCTATTACAGTTGTCCCATTTTCCCCCTTCACTCCCCTCCACCCTGCACACCCTCTCCCACCCACATTCCCCCCTTTAGTTCATGTCCATGTGTCATACTTATAAGTTCTTTAGCTTCTACATTTCCCATACTATTCTTACCCTCCCCCTGTCTATTTTCTACCTACCATCTATGCTACTTATTCTCTATATCTTTTCTCCCTCTCTCCTCCTCCCACTCCCGTTGCTAACCCTCCATGTGATCTTCATTTCTGTGGTTCTATTCCTGTTCTGTTTGTTACCTTAGTTTGTTTTTCTTTTTGTTTTAGTCATAGTTGTTAATAATTGTGAGTTTGCTGTCATTTTACTATACATGTTTTTTATCTCCTTTTTCTTAGATAAGTCCCTTTAACATTTCATAAAATAAGGGCTTGGTGATAATGAACTCCTTTAACTTGACCTTATCTGAGAAGCACTTTATCTGCCCTTCCACTCTAAATGAAAATTTTGCTGGATAGAGCAACCTTGGATGTAGGTCCTTGCCTTTCATGACTTGGAATACTTCTTTCCAGCCCCTTCTTGCCTGCAAGGTCTCTTTTGAGAAATCAGCTGACAGTCTGATGGGAACTCCTTTGTAGGTAACTGTCTCCTTTTCTCTTGCTGCTTCTAGGATTCTCTCCTTCATTTTAATCTTGGCCAATGTAATTCTGATGTGCCTTGGTGTGTTCCTCCTTGGGTCCAACTTCTTTGGGACTCTATGAGCTTCCTGGACTTCCTGGAAGTCTATTTCCTTTGCCAGATTGGGGAAGTTCTTCTTTATTATTTGTTCAAATATCATTTCCACTTGTTCCTCTTCCTCTTCTCCTTCTGATACCCCTATAATTTGGATGTTGGAACATTTAGAGATGTCCCAGAGGTTCCTAAACCTCTCCTCATTTTTTTGAATTCCTGTTTCTTCCTTCTTTTCTGTTTGTTTGGTTGTTTCTTTCTTCCTTCTGGTCCACTCCATTGATCTGAGTCCCAGTTTCCTTCCCATCATTATTGGTTCCCCGTACATTTTCCTTTACTTCACTTAGCATAGCCTTCATTTGTTCATCTAATTTGCAACCAAATTCAACCAATTCTGTGAACATCCTGATCACCAGTGCTTTGAACTATGCATCTGATAGGTTGACTATCTCTTCATCACTTAGTTGTATTATTTCTGGAGCTTTAATCTGTTCTTTCATTTGGGCCATTTTTTTTGTCTTGACGCACCTGTTACATATGAGAGGCGGAGCCTTAGGTGTTCATCTGGGTGGGGCAACCCAGTCACTGGGTTGTGACACAGCATGTGGGGATGGGGTCTGAGAGGGAACAATGGTGCTTGCTCCACTCTCTGCCAGATTTCAGTCATTTCCACAGCTTCCCCAAAGCAAACAGGGCCTTTCTGGTGCTGATTCCTGAGTGGGTGAGTTTGTGTACATTCTAGGACCCTGTGGGTCTCTCCAATGAACTCTGCTGTGAGACTGGGAGTCTCTCCCTGAACCTCAACCCCCCCAGGTGTTTTCAATCAGTATTTTGAGGCTTTATTTCCTGGTGCTTGGATTCTGGGTTGCTCAGTCTGTTTCGCTCCCCAGTTTGCCTGGTTTATCTGCGTGTGAATGTCAGACCACCTGGTCTGCCAGCCGCCGCTTTGCCACAAGTCCTTCTACCCAGCAGCCCAACTCCACCCATCCTACTGGTCTGGATGAATGTTTCTTCTTTAACTCCTTGGTTGTCGGACTTCCATACAGTTCAATTTTCTGTCAGTACTGGGGTTTTTTTGTTTCTAAATTTTTGTTGTCCTTATGTTGGTTGTGCAAGGAGGCACAGCGTGTCTACCTATACCTCCATCTTGGCCAGAAGTCCCAGTTCAAATATTTTAATAATAGGAGAACAAGACTCAAAACCTTCTTATGATGCCCTGGCTGATATGGCTCAGTGGATTGAGCACCAGCCTGTGAAACAAAGGGCCACCAGTTCAATTCCCAGTCAGGGCACATGCCTGGGTTGTGGGCCAGTTCGGATCCCCAGTAGGTGGCACGTGAAAGGCAACCACCCACTGATGTTTCTCTCCTTCTCCTTGTCCCTCTCTTCCCTTCTGTCTAAAAATAAATAAATAAAATATTTTTTAAAAAAGACTTCATAATTTCTCTCTCCTTCAGATTCTTTTACCACTGAAAGTATAAATCACTCCTTTGGTGCTTGTCATGTATCTTGTGCAATCAGTTGTATTACTATGACTCCATGGCATATCTTCCCTACTAGACTCAGTTTTTGAAGCAAGAACCCACAGTAGTCAAATGAAAATATTCCTTAATTAATTGATGTCTATGCCCAAGTTCCTACTGGGCTGGCTGGATGCCTAATGACTCAGTTTTATCCATTCACTTATTCATTCTGTGAATATTTACTACATTCCTTCTATGGGCAGACATACACTAATCCTGGTCTAAACAAAAGATCCAACCCAACCACAATGAGGTTTTTTTCCCAACTCCTCACCTGAGGATATATTCATTAATTTGAGAGAGAGAAAAAGGGAGAGAGAGAGACAGAGACAGAGAGAGAGAGAGAGAGAAACATCAATCAGTTGCCTCCTATACATGCAACATAGCTATGTGCCCTAAACCGGGATTGAACCGACAACCTTTTGGTACACAGGATGATACACCAATCAAATGCCCACCCAGCCAGGACCTAACCACAAAGTTTTTCACTACAAGAGATGATCAATTCCCAGACATGTACTAGAAGAGAGCTAAAGCACTCTTAGGGCTGTTATTTCCTGAAATACCCTCTACAGAGATTGTCTTGGCAGAGAGACCGCCTCCACTGCCAAAAGGAAACAAGAACTTACTGTGTCTGAAGTAGCAGGGTTAATCATGGCAGGAGGGCTGCTGATTAGGCTTAGAAGCTGGGCACTGCGCCATTGCTCAGCCCCGTGGTTCCTTCTGACATAGAGGAAGTGCAAAGAGAGGAGAGCTCCACTCACAGACTGTGGGGGAAAACAAATAAATCCTTAATGTCAATGATGGGGAAAATATACTTCTACCTGAGGAATTCACTACTCCGTCAGGGAACTTGCCTTTGTGTGAGGCCCAAACTCCTCTGTCAGTTTCTTCAGAGGATGGTCATACTCCAAGACCATCTGACTCAGGCGGGGATAACTGGGGTCACTGGAAGAAGGCAGAGGAAAGAGGATCACAGGCCTCCCTTAACCATGATATAAACTCTCATGTTTGATGTTGGATAAAGACATGTGCATAGGCTGCCTGGTACTCTCTACCACCTCCACAAACATACATACTAAACCAGAGGTGCCAAACTCATTTTCACTGGGGGCCACATCAGCCTCATGGTTGCCTTCAAAGGGTCGAATGTAATTTCAATTCCTTAACAGTTAAGAAGTAGTTACATTTATACAGTCCTGAAATGATTTTGGCCTATATAATTTTGATCAGGTCCATGAAAATGTCTTCCACATAAACACCTAAAATAGGGTTGGACACATAATAGATACTCTATAAATTCATGTTGATTAGTTATAAAGCAAGAGAAAGTAATCAAGTAATCAAGTAATATGCCTAGACCCAAATCTGTATACAACCCAAAAGAATGGAGAATGAATATACATATATTCATTCAAAAATAATGTGTAAGGCATGCACCTAGATGTTCACACAGACACATGGAAATACATACTATGCATAGAACAATGTGCCACATCCTGCTCTGATCCTTCTGGTCTTCATTTTTTCAGCCCTTAAATACTTTTATTTACATTGATGGAGGAGCACAGAATTGCAGATAATCCAAAATCCATTTATATTTGGCTTCAAATGAATCATCATACATTACTTACCCTAATGGCCTTACCTTGCTATTATTCCTATCAATACTAAAAAAAAAAATCTTTCTTTGCCTTTTGCAATAACCTGAAAAGCAGAGGGGAAGCCAGCCCAGGATTAAAAACTAATCCGAGACAATGCAAACTGGATAACCCACTAGCACTTATTCAAGATTAACTATATGTAGACATGCACTTGTTGGTACTGTGCACTTACAAGTATTCTAAATTGCTTTTTTTTTTTTTGCCTGTGTCATCATGTAGATTACAAGTTCTAATATGAGAAAGCATGGCACCTATTTCTTTTGTGTCCAACTCCTACCTCATAGCACCATGTCCAAGATTCTTCATCTCCTATATCCCCTTAACTCACCTGTGCCCATGCAGCATCTCATGGGCACAGTTGTACACGCCAATTAGTACCCGTCGATCCTCAATTCTCGACAGAAGTAAAATAACTGAGGTGTAAGTCACGATCAAGTCCAGGTAACTTCGAGTGAAGTCAAAGTTGAGACTCTAAAAGAAAAATACATAGGAACCCAAGAAGAGCAAGGCCAATTAATCCCTACTACCCCAACCATTCCAGACAGTGCCAAATAGGCTCTGAAAAGGTCTAGAAGGAGGAACTCATGGGACTGAAAATTCAGGAGAAAATTAGAACAAACATCAGAGGCCAAAAGTGAGATCAAGATACAAGAAGGCCAGGAAGTAAGGTAGCATTTAGGGTCTGGAGGAAGTAGAATAAGAACATTTTTGTGTAATGTTTGTATTAAATAAATCACATTGCTGATCTGCTTCACATGTAAACACACTTTAACTTTAGCACTTTTTATGAAAGAATTATAGTCCTGGAATAAGTCACCACTCATTCATTATATACAGGTGTAGGCAAAAGTAGGTTTATAGTTGCAATACAAATAAATAATATAAAATTAATAATAATATAAGAATAAACTTTCATGTACTCACAATTGTAGACCCACTTTTGTATATATGTTACAAAACATATTATATTATATATATTACATATCAGATAGTCCTGGAGGAATAGCTATTCCCCTAGTCCCATCCCACCCCACACAGTCTCAACTGAGACATTTTTCTGTGGATAGCAGAGAATTGCAAAGAATCTTACAATATCAAAATGGCACTGGCAGGCATCAATGGTGTTGAGAAGTTCATATACATGATCCTGGGGGTAAAATTGGAGATAAGAATAAATAAAGAATAAAGAGAACATGACTTGTACTACCAGAATTTGAAGGGAAGAATTCTCTCCCTTGCAGATCCTAGGAAGCCACTGAGTAACACAGGAGAAGCATTGCTGAATAGAGGGTGTCCCTTCCCAATAAGGTGTCAGTGGATCCCAGTCGAGCTTACCCTGCCCCATGCCCATGTTTCCACAGGCACAAGTCACTACCAAGTTAAATACACTATCCCTGATCTTAACACCCCAGTGATCCCTTTCTCAAAAAAAAAAAGTTACAAAATACAGATCATTTGATAGGCTGTTTCTGAAATGCCAACTATCAGACCCATTTTTATTGATTAATCCCAAAGTCAATCTGTTTTTGGATTCCATCTCCTGTTCTCAGAAGTTAATCATTAACAAATAGGAATACAACCCAACTTTCTTTGTGTTTCTATTTATTGACATCCTGCTATGTGCTAAGTACTTACTAACCAGTTTAACAACTTGGTTTGTCCTTTCTTAATTTTCTCCCTGTTTGTATAATCCTATTTAAAGAGAGAGAAAAAAAGGTAGAGATGGGTATTTTTGGTCATCATCTGTGTTGCAAAATTGATATAGTATTACACCCTTCTTATCATCTTGCTTTCCTCATCAACCTCACCTGATGAAAGTCCTCAGAGTCTCTGGATAGGGCACTAGTGCATTTCTTTTACATTGTCACATAATAACCCATGGCATGGCCAATTCATTCAGCCTCTTCCCTATTTAAGGCATATGCTTTGTTCCTTATCCCTGGCCTATCCACTGCATTTTGCTACTTTCAGTTCTACAAAAGTGAAACTACCAGATCAAAAAGTATACATATATTTGTTTATTTTTTAAATATGTTGCCAAAAGACTTGAATGGGTTCTTTAAAATATATATATATATACACAAATGCCCAAAAAGCACACGAAAAGATACTCAACTATATTAGCCATCGGCAACACACCAGTTAAAATCACAATAAGATACAATTACATACCCACTACAATGACTAAAATTTAAGTCTGATAACAGCTAGCATGGATGAAAATGTAGAGTAACTAGTGGAGAACACTAATATATTGATGGGAGGAGAAAATGGAACAATCATTTTGGGAATAAGTTTGGTGGTTTTTTATAAAATTAAACATATACATACCATATGATTTAGAAATTCAACTTTTAGATTATTTACCTAAAACTAATGCAGCTATGCCCTAGCTGATGTGGCTCAGTGGATTGAGCACTGACCTGCAAACCAAAGGGTCACCGGTTTGATTCCCAGCCAGGGCACATGCCTAGGTTGCCGACCAGGTCAGGTCCCCTTTATGGGGCATGCAAGAGGCAACCACACATTGGTGTCTCTCTCCCTCTCTTTTTCCTTCCCTTCCCCTCTGTCTAAAATAAAATAAATAAAATCTTTTTTAAAAAGAGTAATGAAACTATGTAGTTTCTGCACAATGGTATATACTCAAATGTTTACAGTAACTTGTGCATAATGGCCAAAAATGGACACAATTCAAATATCCATCAGCAAGTAAATAAATAAGCAAATTGCATCCATACAATGGAATAGTACTCATCAAAAATAGGAAACGAGTTGTAAATACATGAAACAACATAGATAAATCGCCAAAACCTTTATATTGAGTGAAAGAAGCCAGACGCAAAAGAATACATGCTATGGACCTGGTCATGTGCCAAGGGGCTTGGTTGTTTGGAGTATCATCCTGTACACCAAAAGGCTGCAGGTTCAATTCCTGGTCAGGGTGTGTACATGAGGCAACCAATTGGTGCTGCTCTCTCACATCCATGTATCTCTCTCTCTCTCTCTCTCTTTCTCTCCCCACCTCCACCCTACCTCTATCTCTAAAATCAATAAACATATCTCAGGTAAGGATTTTAATAAAGACTACATGGTGTATAGATTCTAGTTATATGAACCCCTAGAAAACAAATATCTAATCTGGAAAGTAGATCAGTAGCTGCCTGGGGCCAGGAGTTGGGGAGGCAGGGATTGACTGGGAAAACAAAGGCACAGGGGACATGTGATGCTTAGGACACTTTGTGTAGCAACCAGAAAGTGTCCTAAAATCTCCTTTGCATTCCAACTTTCCTAGTAGGAGACTTTTTCTTATATGCTCCCAGCATTCACTCCACTACCTCCTCCCTGTCTACCTTCTTCCTAGTCACTACTCTCAGTTCCAGGATTAATAACCTCTGACCTGACCCTCCTTCAGACCTTACAGGTTTCCATGTCCCCTCTTCTCTCTTTACTGTGTAATCTTATCAATGGCTTGAACTAGCTCCCTGGGGTAGATGCAGGGCACCCAGGGCAGGGTCCCATTCTGTGGTATGATCTGAAGAAATACTATAATACCAACACAAACTTAGATTGCTCAAATGGCTAAAATTTGTGTTATTTCTTGAATACATTAAAAATATATGTTCATTGCAGAAAATACAAACAAGTATAATTTTAATTTCTTTTTGAAACCACTCAAAATCTCAACAATCAGAAGTTCTAAGCTTCAGTATATGCCTGTTTATCTATGTTAATACATGTTTTAGGAACATCTTACATCTTAAGCTGTACTATAATTTGCTTTTACACTAAAGAACATGTAAAGAACATTTTTCCATGCCAATTAATATAAATATGTGTTATCTTTAACAGATGCATAACATTCATTGATAGACATATACTCTGAACTTTTAACTAAACTTCTATTTATTGGAAATACTCAATTCTCAAGTTGTCACATCAAAACTAATGCAACAGAGTACATTCTTATACATATATCTTTGTGCTTCTATTTCTTAAGACAAATTTTAGAAGTAGAACTACTACATTTAAAAAGTATGTATTTTTAAGACTTTTGAAACACATTATCAATTTGCCTTTCAAAAATATTGTACTAAATAATTTTTAGTTTGTTTACATTTACAAAAATAATATATTCCCATTGTTTAAAGTTCAAATAAAATGTTATTCAAGTAGAACTGCTACCAAACACTGTTAACAATCAGGCAAATCCAAATGAAGGGATAGTCTCAAAAATAACAAGTCTGGACTCTTCAAAAAGGTTAGTGTCATGAAAGACCAAAAAAAAAAAAAGGCTGGGAACTATTCTAGATTAAAGACTAAAGAGACAGGACAAATAAATTCAATGTATGATCCTTGAAACAAGCTAGAGAAATGTTAATATGGGTCATATATTAACTAGTAATATTATAGAAATTTTACATTTCCTGAGTGTGACCATTGTGTTGGAGTTATGTAAAAAAAATATATATTCTTATTCTTAGCATCTGTGTGCTAAAGTATTTAGGGAGAAAAATGTCATGATGTCTGCGAATAACTCAAATGGTTCAGAAAAAAATGAAGATAAGCAAACATGGCAAAATACTAACAATTAAAAAATCCAGGAGAAAAGTAGAACAACATTCATTGTACTACTCTTGGAATATTTGGTATATTTGTAATAGAATATTGGGGAATAGTACTTTAAAATTTTTAACTTAAATAATACAAAAATATATAACTAAATAAATTATTATTTTTATTTTAATGTGTAATATTCCAAAATGTTCCTATGTATATACTAACACTATGTATAGTGTATAAGCTTATGTATCTTTTGAAATAAAAATATAATTGTATCATATAGTATTCTGCAACTTGCTTTCATTTAACAATACAACTTAGATACCTTTTCATATCAGTACATCTTTTTTTTTAAAGCTGGAGGAGGGAGGGAGTCATAAGAGGACTAAATGGTAATGGAAAAAATAGAATAAAGATTATATATTTCATAAGTAAATACAGTATTAAGCAACACAAATGAGTATTTATTAATGGAAGAATAGCCTAAATGTCCCATTCCCTTCCCAAAGGCAGCAGCAAACTCCCATCTACCCCTATTTCCTACTCAAGCTCCAGTTGCCAGCTGCCTCTGCCACCTCCCCCCACAACTTCCAAGGCTGGGTGAGTAAGAAGGATCCAGGTCAGAGTTGCCTCTTTTCACTCAGACTTAGACTCACTCCCCTAACTTTCTCTCAATCCCCTTTACCACCCAAAGATAAGCCATCGCTAGCACCACCACCAAGTGACCCACTCCCCTCCTAAGTAAATAAATAAATACATACATACATACATACATACATAAGGAATAGCCTCAGAAGGACAATGCCCACACTTGCACCTGAGCTAAAGAGAGCTCACCCGAAATTCCATGACATCCACAAACGACTGATAGTAGTTGGTGAGGAATCTAATAATCTCAGCTTTTTCCCGATGCACTGGTCCTAAATGTTGCTGAAATAAACACACACAAAAAAAATAAAATAAAAAATAAGAAGGCAAGTAATCAAAGTAACCCAAGAATGATAGTTACACCTAAAACATTCTTAAAGGCAGTTGAAATACACTGACAGAGGAAGTTGGGAAGTTTCCAGTGCTCTGAGGGTCTTTAAACAGAGGATATTCTCTGTCTGAGAGGTAGGTATGTTTGCATGTGATTCTGACTAGATATAGAATGCTGAATGAGGGGAAATTTCAAGGTCCCTAGATATCAATCAAAGTTGAAAGAAGCAGAATGAGAAGATGGTACAAGTGAGATGGTAAGAAATCTGGTGCTAACATTTCATAAGGGAGAGGTAAGGGATATCCCACCAGATACATAATTCTAAGACAATTAGCAAGGAAATACTGAATGGGAAACAGGAACAACAATAAAATATATGCACCCTGCTGGATTTATAGAGCTATCTTCCTCTACAAAAAAAAAGGGGGGGGAGAGAGGGCCCTCATGAATATTACAATGGAGAAAGGGGCAATTCTTTGCTCCAGCTTATCCTGGGAAAATTCCATCTTTCTCAGAATTCTCAAGCCTATAACAACCTGAAGCCCTGTGATTGAAAACAAAAAGAAGGCTACACCATCTCCTGCCATCCAAGCACAGAATTATTTCAGAGAAAGGGAAGAAAAGAGATTGCATTCTCACCGTGCTGTTGCGGACATCAATGTTGGGAAATTTCTTGTTGATGTACTTAAGAGATGATTCCATGGACTTTTCCAGTAAGAAAGGTGGCTTGGATTTGGGGTCTGAACAAGTCTGCACAAATAAACCACACTATATTTCAAAACTTTCTCCTGCCCCTCATAAACATACCTCTTCCTCATCATTCATTCTCACAAAATGTCTCTTAGGGAAAGGGAATCTGGGAATTCACTACAAAAGCACAAGAATAGGTGAGGAACAAGTTCAAGGACATTAAGCCAATTAGCAGAAGAGCTAAGTAACCTGGGCATCTTGTGTTGCCATGTAAAGTTTAACGTCTGCTTGGCCCCAGCACAAAGAGGAAGCTCTCCCCACCCTTCAGCTGAAGCCGGAAGGAGTGAAAAGAGCAGCTGCTCAGGAGTTAGACTTTGTAGGAGACTCAGTGTCACAATTATGTCCATTATATAAGTAAATCATCTCAAAGCGCTATTAAAGGAAACATAGGGACAGAGAGACCATATTCCTGGTGATTTGTTTTATTTTTTTTTAATGCTCAAAATTTCCCTCCCCACACCCATTATTTTCTCTTCCAGAAACTCCCCATTCCCACCCGTCTTTATCTTTTGCTTCCCTTGCCAACAGCCTCTCTCAATTCCACAGTTCCTATTCAAACACACAACCACCACAGCATGAACTGCCTCAGACTCTACGTATCTCAGAAAGCACCTACCCTTTTTGTTTTAATGTAAATATCACATGTATTTTTTTTCCTTTTTGAGGCGTAGTTTCATGGATGCTTGTGCTGAGACCCAACTTTGGATATTTTCAGAGTGTGGAGGATAAGCAATAACCAATATGACCCAGAATTCTAGACCCCAGACCATTACCCAAGCGACTCGGAACACAATTATTTACCACCCCACCCCTACGCCATACCCAGAAGAAAGCAGACACTCTCAATGGGGTGAGAATCATACCTAGAAAGGGGAAGCTCTGAAAAAAAGCCTCCCTTCCTGCTTCACCTATATAATCCAAGTGACTGAAGGACAGTTAAGACAGCAGGAAAGAGGAGAAAATCCAACCACTGGACCTGCTGGCCTCAGGGTTCCCTGCCCTACTACTGTTAGAATAACTAATACTAATCCAGGTACCCATGCTTACCTTCTTGATGTTATACATACGAATGAGAACCCCCTGACCTCTGTCATTCAGGATGGTGAGCTTTTCTGCTAATTTATGCTGATAGGCAGAAGTCAAAGACATGATGGCCACCGAGAGAGCGAAACATCCACACAGCAATGTCTGATCTCTCCAACACTTTCAGCTTGGGTAGTGACACCCTCTGGGCAGAGGGACCCAGCCTGATTGGTGCACTGGTCTTCCTGTAACCTCTACAATTGGCTCATGGGTAAAAGCAGCCAGTACTTCTCACAGGCCCTCAGAATCCTCCTGTGCTTCCTCTTGCACATTCAGCAGAGGAGACTTCCTCTTTCTAGTCATGCAGCTAAGACTGTGAAATGGGTGAAAGCAGGAGAAAGAGATAGGCTTTGAAAGCTCTTCATAGTCTGGCATCAACCTTTTTGGTCTTACCCCTCCACTAATGTCCTGTATAAAGCTCTATACCAAACAAATGAATATTGACCACCCCACTCCCTTGTACCTTTATACAGGGTCTGGCAGAAGTAAGGTTTGCTTGAGTGTGGTTGGTAGGGTATGTGAATGTCTCACACAAGATGGACAGAAATTTAAACATTTCACCTAAAATTTCATATGCTGTGCTTGAGTGTGATATTGTTATGTTACAGAATTACATACTTATGATTTTGTAATAAAAAGGGGGCATTATTTGTGCCAGACCCTATACTTTTCTACTTTTATACCCCCATCACGAATACCCATGTTACTCTCTCCTGAACCCTAGGCCCACCCATTCTTTAGGGCCTAAATTAAGTTCCAAGTCCTCTTATTTATTCCATCTAATGTCAAATATTATATATAATATATATAACATTGTATTTCTTATTATATTTTTAACTGTATGTATTATCTCCCCCAACTACATCATAAACTCCTTAATGATAAGAATTGTATCTAATACTTCTTTATATCCCTCCAATGCTCTAGTACAGTGATTCTCAAAATGTGGTTACATGACATCACCTGGAAACTTACTAGACTTAGAAATTCTGAGGCTCTACCCAGACTTACTAAATCCAAAACTCTGGGGTAGGGTCCAGCACTGTGGTTTAAAAAGCCCTCCAGACTATTCCAATGCACTCTCGAGTTTGAGAAACACCGCTTTAATACAATGGTTCCTACAGGTACTTACAAAATGGAGTTCAATCCCTATCTCTGGAGACTGAGAATTGGTAGGTCTGCAGTGGGCCTAGAAGTCTGCATTTATAAAAACTGTAGGAGGTTTTAGTACAAATGTTCCATCAGATACATAATGAGAAATGCTGATACCACCTCCTGGACACAGTAGCCACTCAATAAATAAGCTAATTTATTTCTTGAATTATTAAGACTAAAATGGAAAATAGGTCCCATGAAGAAAAACCAAATTAACTGAGATTAACAAGGGGAAATTAATAATAGACTTTAAATTTTAGAAGACAGCGTGAATTTTAGCACTATAATATTCTTACCATTACGTCTGGCTGGTATGGCTCAGTGGATTGAGTTCCAGCCTGGGAACCAGAGGTTCACCGGTTCAGTTCCTGGTTGGGGCACATGTCTGGGTTGCGGGCTGAGTCCCCAGTTGGGGGTGCACAGGAGGCAACCACACATTGATGTTTCTTCTCTCCCTCTCTTTCTCCCTCCCTTCTGTCTAGAAATGAATGAATAAAATCTTTTTAAAAATAAAAAATAAATAAAATATTCTTGTCATTCCAACCAAGCTATAACTGTCTAATTCAAGAAAACCAATTCACTTTCAAGTGTGTTTCAAGGAAGAAGATCCTTGAGAAAATTCTAAATCAAACAGAATTGTCTTCATATTTACCTGCTTTCTAATACCGTTTTCCCACTTTTCAACCATTGTCACTTTCCATATTCAGGTCTCTCACATTATCCCAATATATCCTGGGACTGAGGGTGAGGGGAGCTGATTACATTATTATTTAAGGAACTTAACATATTTGCTCCCAAGAGAATGTATTTTTTAAAGAAAGAAGAAGCTAAGCTGCTATGACTCAGTTGGTTGGAGCATTGTCCCATGCACCAAAAAGTTGCAGGTTCAATATCTGGTAAGGGCACAAGCATAGGTGACAGGTTTGGTCCCAGTTGGGGTGCGTGCAGGAGGCAACCTACCAATGTTTCTCTCATATTCGATGTCTCTCTCCCTCCCCTCCCTTCTTCTTGCTCTCTGGAATCAATAAAGAAACAAGAAGATGGCAATGCTTGACACATGAAATTTCAATCTCCAAGAGAAACTTTGCATTTTTGGAAAATAGAATTTGCCTTCCATATTATTTCCTGGGTGTGTCCCTGGAAACCTGTGGTCATGGTATTAGGAATATTTGCCCTGAAGATTTGAATCACCTGTTGTTATCAAAGAACCCCAACCCAGGTTCTTCTGCAGAGATTTATAGGATTTCTATTTGGTCTTTCACCTTGACAAGGAAGAATAAAGAGCAGGCAGTACATCTAGGAAGCTGAGCAACAGTATAACAGTAGCCTTCTTACAAGTCAGTGTAGTTCTATTGGATCTTTCTCACTTGCATTTATCCTCATCCTGAAATTTCTGTTAAAGACTTTCTATATCAAGACAATCTTATTTTCTACTGTCTCCTAATATGTGCTTCTCAACATAGTGGGAACCATGTTCTCAGTGTACTGTGAATATGCTATGTTCATTTCTGCCTTCCTCACGTATGTATGCTTTCCCTCTTGCTGACCCAAATCCTAATCAATCTTCTAGATCTAGCTCAAATAGACCCAAGTCCAGCCCTGCTGAACAGTCCCTGCAGTACTGGTATAAAGTACATTTTGGTGTAAAGTACATACTTTACATCTAAATTCAAGTCCACCTGTAATTGTTCATTTTGTATTACACTGCCACCCCAGCTAAACTGTAAGATTTCTGGGATGACTTATTTGCCTATAATTGGTGTATGAGAAAAGCCTACATTCTGGCATCAAACAGAATTTTGGGTTCATATGTAGTTGAATACAGTGAGCTAAGCCTTATGATGAGAAGCTAAGAGCCCAGGTTCTGGAGCCAGATAGCCTGAATTCACATCTCAGCTCTATCACCTACCAGCTCAGTTTTACAAACCACTTTCCCTCTCTGTAAAATGGAAATGATATTGCTAGTATTTCCTATTTTCAGGGGTTATTATATGTATTAAATAAGTTACTACATGTAAATTAATAACTTAGCTATTTACTATGAACCAGGTACTTTAAGTGCTTTACATGTATTACCTCAAATAAGAATAATATAATATTCAAACTAATACTAGCTTTGTAACTTTAGGTTATCTATCAGCAGTGAGTCAGTTTCCTAGCCTGCAATATGGTGATCATCCCTCACACAACTGTGGAAGTGATTAAATGATATGGTATATAAAACATGTGGCTCAAGACCTGTACATTGAATTAGGAATGTCAACAGTAAAGTAAAATTTTGATTTCTGAGTATGCATAAGCTTTCTGTGGAATTCTATTTGGCACCCCATAAAAATAAAAAAAGGCCAGGTTTAGGCCCCAGCCAGGAAGTTCAGTTGGTTAGAGCATTGTCTCAATATGCCAAGGTTGTGGATTTGACCTCTGGTCAGGGCACATATAAGAATCAACCAATGAATGCATAAATAAGTGGGGGGAAAAATATGTCTCTCCTTCTATCTCTCTCTCTCTCTCTCTCTCTCTCTCTCTGTCTCAAATTAATAAAATATGGAAGTGGGGAGGGTTGGGTGGGTGGGCTGGATTGGGAGTAAAAGGGAGAAAACTATACTTGAACAATGATTAAAATAAAAAAATAATAAAATAAATAAAAATAATTTTAAAAAAATTAAAAGGCCATTTTTAAAAATGGGATTAATCATGCCAACTGGTAGTCTTTAGGGAAACTTCATTGGAGAGATCATCTGGTAGTTCCTCCTAGAAATGAAAGGAGCCCATCTAAGTGTAGCATAATTACCCTAGAGAAGGGCCTAGTATAGTAACTCTAGCTACAAATCAGTCTCTTGTGGAACTCTTTTAAAGCCACAGTTAGCCAGACCCCATTTGTGAATATTCTAACCCAAGAGTTCTAGAATGGGGCCAAAGGATCTATCACTTTAAAACTACTCAGTGTTTCTCATACACAACTAAGATTGAGAACCACTTCTCCAAGACTTAATTTCAAAAACTTGCAAACCTCTAAGAAACCATAGAACATACAGTGGGAGAATGGGAATTAAATAGACTGAACAGAAAGTTGACTCATATCACTTGATGGAAAAGTACTGTGCTTTCCCTCTCCTCAAACTTCAGCTGTTTGCCTTGTTTTGCCTTGCAGACAATTGTTTTCCTTTTCAAATGAAACTTCCCTTTGGACTCTGGAGAAAAAGGCTTCAAGAATAAGATAGAGCTGAAGATCCTTTAGTGTTAAGGTACATTAAGATCTTTCCAAGGCTACAAAGTATTAAACAAAATGCCCTCCATTATAATATTGGTCTCCCTACTTCAATATTCAACTATTAATAATTAGATGAATGATTCAAAGTTGCCAAATCTTACTACCTATTCTGAAGCATTTTTTGTTTATTGAGACCAGCCTTACCAAATTTCTCACTTTTCTAGGCTGCTGACTAAAATAAAGTTTTGGGATTACCTGAAGACAACATTTAGGTATTGAAGGTCTTTTCCTATTACCTTTAAGAATCTAAAGATAACTATATACAATACTGAATTATACTGTATCTTATTTTTTCTAATATTTTTTTATTTTTTAATTACAGTTGGCATACAATATTATAGTAGTTTCAGGTATACAACCCAATGATTAAATATTATCTTACTTAGTGATCATTCCAATAAATCTAGTACCCACATGACACCATACATAGTTATTGTAGTATTATTTATTGTATTCCCTATGCTGTACTTTACATCTCTGTGAATATTCTGTAACTACCAATTTGTACTTCTTATCCCCTTCACTTTTTCACCTATCTTCTAACTCCCCTTCCATCTGGCAACTGCCAAAATGTTCTCTGTATCTATGAGCCTGTTTCTGTTTTGCTTGTTCATTTATTTTGCTTTTTTTAATTCAATTGTTGATAGGTATGTTATTGTCATTTTATTATTCATATTTTTAATTTTTTCCTT